AAAAAAAAAAAAAAAAAAAAAAAAACAAAAAAAAAAAAAATTTTTTTTTAAAAAAAAAAAAAAGACTCAAAAAGCATCAAAATTTGTCATGATAAAAAATGATAGGAAGATAGAAAAACAAATTTGAATTGCTTTGACTTTACGAGAAAGCTGAAGTCAACATGTTTGCAGTCCTGAGAACAATTTCCTTTCATCTGATTTTTCAGTGAGTTGGTTCCAAAGATAAAGAAGATGGAGACAAAATCCTGTCTATTCATCTTGTGCTCCAGCTAACTCTCAGTATATAGTTCTGTCATAATCAGGGGCTACATGGTTCATGCTGGTCAAGCAACCCAGAAGATACCCTGCAAGAGAAAACCTATTTAAATCTAGTATGATCACATGCCAGGCATTTTAGATGAGCTCCACCTACCTGGTTAATTCCTTAGTGAGACTTAGAGGAGTTCAGCGAATAACATGATATTTCAGAAGATCCTTAAAACTGATTTAAGTGCCAAATTGTTCAAAGTTATATAGTTTTTTTTTTCAAAACAATATTCCTGCTTGAAATTCAAGATGGTTGCCAGTTTAGAAGAGGGCCATTTTATTTGGTGCAGAAATATTATGTTTTACTTTAAACCTGCACAGATGTTCTAACATTGATTTACCGTATAAAGTTTCCATTGTGTAAATTCATTGTGTATATATATATATATATATATATATATATATATATATATATATATATATATATATATTTCCCAGATTCTTAATTAAGCATGTTGTGGACTGAGGTAAAAATCAATCCCACTTATTCTGGCCAGCGAGCATTTTTGTATTTGGTGTGACGATATATTTTGGGGCCATCTTAGGGACTTGGTTTCAAACACATGATGTGAAACCAGAAGTCTGATCCAATGCTTTCAAAAATTATACTTGGTTGAGTACTCCCCTTAGTTCCATCATATTTCGTATGATATCCACCAGGGTTCAAGTCTCACTGGGTCAAAGTGTGGAGTGAGATGGACAGTGATAATGAAAGGATCTACAGTAGAGGGACTTCTTTTGAGGCAGCGACAACAAAGCAGAGCTATTTCACTTCCTTGCTGACAAGATTGCCCCGATAAATACATCAATGATCTTTACAGAAACAATGAGATTAGAAAGGATAAGATTTACTATGTTGTCACAAGAAAACACAAACCCTCCTTGTACATGCCTGTAATGTTGTGGACCGCGGTCATGATTATGGCAACTGACCCAGATCTATATCTGCGTCAGATTGCGGTTGTGCATGGCAACGTTGAACTGGTTTCCTGTACATGAACTGTGTTACTCGTTTACTGTAGAAAAGCACATGTGGGTGAGGATCATTTCAAGGTCATCCAGAGGTTTGTGGTGACAAATGTATGATACTGTATATGCGGTTAGCTGTACATGTGGATGCTGTAGGACTGGGCATGTTTGTCAGGAGGCAGAAAAGCACATTTTATTCTCTTATGGATGAGTGAAGTTAATTAAAGTCTAAATCCAGCCTGTTGTTCAGTAGATGCCTGTGTAAATTCCTTTATTGTCTCACAATGGGGAAATAACTCTCTGTATTTATCCTCTTGGGGAGGTGTGGGCTGCCATTCTGTGGCACCTGGGGAGCAGTGTGGGGTTAAAGGTCATGCTCAGGAACCCAGATTGGAAGCTGTGGTGATCGAACCGGGTACCTGCAACCTTCTCAGAGCACCAGCACACTGCTCTAACCACTTTGCCAACACTCCACATGTCACAGGTGCCTAGTGTCTCTAATTAGCTGCATACCTAAATGTTTGATAAGTATAGCTGCAATGTTTAGATAATTAAACACTATTTAATCTAACATCTCATTTAGAGTAAACACAGAAATTATATTTTTTGTGCAACTGGGAATAGATTCCGGCATTCTTCCCACCAGTGCAGCACTACTTCACTATGCACCTGCTGCTTCATATCAAACAGGCTGCAAATATTATGTGAAATATTACTATCTGAACTGGGCTTCAAAGCTTCAAATGTGACCAATTCTTGTCTTTCACATTGAAACAGGACATTTAAAGTCTTCATTTAATAATCAACTCATAATTTTGATGCAAATACAGTACATACCTTTATCCAGATTTCTGTTTTAAACTCAAATATCTCTGTAGAAAGAGGGGCAATATGGCTGTATAATGATACATCCTGATACATGCTCTAAGAAGGAACAATGAGGGAGACATGTTGGTATACATCTGCATCCCACTCAGTTGGGTCTGCACAGAGGATTATTACTAGATACTGGATTATCACTGATAAACAAAGGATTTTAATTACATGAACAGCTTAGACTTAGCCTGTCAGTCTGACTGATAATATTCTGGTGATCTAGTGTTTGGCGATTAGGATTTAGTTCTCATCTAAATTATATTATGCTTTTTATGTTTTGCTTTTTTTGATTTTGGATGATTTTTATTACTAACTGCAAAGGGGTTAAAAGGATTGCATATTTATAATGCTGCTATAGGCCTTCTGTATGGTGCATTATCTTTTCTGTCCAAGATAAAAAAAAAATACACAATGAACAGGCTGGACTGACTTTGTTAGTTCAACAGATGCACTTATTGTCCCAAATACAAATTTATATAGCGTATATTTTTTTATAATACTGATATAGATTTACCTACAACTTACTAAGTAGACATAATTGTTTGAATCAGGCAACTTCATTATCTTTTTTTCTGTTTTTGTTTGTAGGTTGACCATTACAAATAGGTTGTTTCTATATGCTGTCGCCATCTAGTGGTTGAACTATTTAGCTTTCCATATTTCTATAACCAAACCTAAAGCTCCTATTGTGAGGATATTTTTGTGCTGCAGTACACTACAATATACTACAAGTTGCATCCTACTCTCTACTTTTTTAGGGATATCTGTTGACGATGGATAACGAAAATATTTGGTCAGCATCCAGGTCTGTGAATACCCATCAGTAATATATTTGACTTTGAAAATCATGTTTTCAGATTTCAGATTGACTGATGCTCAAAGATGCAGATTTTATCCCTTGTCTCCTGGGAGATGAAACTACTTATGGGGCTTCACTAGTTTGGGCTCTCTGTATGTTCTGTTGCTTTGTGAATCACGTGTCTTAGTCTAAAAGATGCCCCCCCCCATCCCCCATCTACACAAATCCCCACAAATCAGTGTTACTCTGCTCTGTTTGGCAGCTGGGGGGACCAAATAGTGACCTGAAGGATCAGAGCAAAGCCTTTGAGTGGGGAGCTAATTCCTCCTTTAGCCCTCATCAGCTTTCCTCTGTTCCATGCTGGAAACATGAACGACAAGTCAAAACTACACCCATCTGGCAGAAATATTTAAAATTAGATCAAGAAGACCGACTGAAAAGAAGGCTGGTCCTTATTGTTATTTATTTTTTTTTGGATTTGGATTTAGATTTTTTTTCTAGTCAAGCTGCAAAACACTGAAAGAAGTTATTTAAAATAGAAAATACAACAAACTATATGGTGTACAAGAATTCTTTTCTTACATTTTCTAAGACAAGGCAAGAAACATGCAGGGTATAAATATTACTTAGATTTCAACATATATTTAGTCAAATGTTCTGTCTTTAAAAAGTCACACAAAACAGTTTCCGTAAGAGTGAAAATGTTATTGGGATCATTCTCAATTTATATTTGATCATAGTCCTCTAACTTACATCTTAGTCCATTTCGTCCATATTTTTCAGTCTGTGTGGGCTAGAAAAACTCAGAGATGAATCTAAACTTTGCACCATTTTTTTTTTTCTTGTTTAAATTGGTTTCTGAAAGCCCCACATTAATGAAAGAAAACCATATAAACTGGATATAAACTTCTTACCTAAACTGTCTTTTTTAGTTTTTCTGTTTAGTTCTTAACGACTTCTAAATTTCTGTAGAAAATAACTTGAAGTGATCAAAACTCTGTAAAACATCAAGAAGCAATGCATGTTTAAAAAGACGAATCTCACACTCCTTTTAATTATACTTACACAGTAATACATTTAGAGCTGAGGCCTCCTGAGAACCCCGATTTCAGTGTCAGCGACTCTATTGCCCCCTGTTGCCCCAATTGAACAGTAATACAAGATAAATTGACTCTGGACCCGATTTCATATAAACGTGCTGGCTGATCTGCTTCTGTTTGGATTGGTGCTCTAACCTATCTGTTAGCACTAATGGAGCCCAATATATAGATAAGTGTGTCTTGCCACAAAAATCAATATCAATGTGGCTTCTGATGGTTTTTGAGTTAAAGTGCTTTGTTTGCTGCCATTGCTCCGAAACAAAGAGGCTGTGGTTCCTTCTATTAACGAATTCCCAGTCAACCTTGAGAAGGAGTAAGAGAAATGGAGGTGGAAATGAAAGGTGGAGTGGCGGTGAAGGGTGGCACTACTGGTACCAGCACCACTAGAGCGATAGATTTGCTGGGAATAGAAAAGCATCATCAGTGGAGCACAGCTGAGCTTTGAGAAGAGGGTGATGGGGTGTAACAAATCAAAGAGGGTTCATAGATGGTCAAAAAAGTATTTTAATTATTAAAAAAATATGGTAGTTTGAATGGCTCATTAACAAGTTGAGATCAGAATATCGATTCTGAGTAATGAGACATGATTTATTTTGTGATGAAATAAAACTAAAGATTCCAGTTGCAGTTCATTGGTTTAGTATTCCTGTCCAATGGAAATAAGAAACAAAAAGCTTTCCTTTCATACCAAACATTTCAAACCTACTTAAAAAAAAATACATCTAAGAAGAATAGACATCTAAGAAGAATAGCCTGTCCATTCATTCTTCCTATATGTAAATAAGCATTCTACTTTCTTATTAGATCAGATGTTATTTCATTCTGAGCCGGTGTGGCAATTAATTCTGGCAAAATCTTACCAACCTACTACCGTTACGTTAAGTTATTGAAAAAAAAAGGCAGAAAACTTTTCAAAAGACAATACTCAAATTTAATATGTTTTTATTTTCTTTTAAAAAGTTGAGCCAGTGTTCCAGTATTAGGGTCAGGGTGAAACATGTCGAAAGGAACAATATAAAGCCCTTTTTTTATTGCATTAATTGTGTTGCATATCATATATTCAGAAAAATTCAATGAAAGCAAAGAGATGTTTGTTTTATAAAAGTTTCTTTTGCTAAAAGACATGTTGGAGGTACGTTCAAGTTTAACATCATCATTTAATTGCACTGCAAATGTTAAAAGGAAGCAACCTTGATCATCCTGGATGATGTCAAATCACGGGTCTGAACTTTTATCAACCACATGGAACAGGAGATTTTAATCATCTTCTAGGTTCTAATGGAACAATGACAGAATTCATTCTACAAACATAAATCCATTTTTAAATGAAAATTGTACATGAAGCAAACTTGCATGGCATGAGCTTGGACAAGCTACAGGATTACATTTCGAAAATAAAAAATCATTGCTATTATTACCACATAGGGGACTTATTCTTAGTGTTTATAGATTTATAGGTTCCATTATAATTTTGTACAAAAATATTATATTTTTCATAATAATCTGTTTTTGTCTGTCCTGGGAAAACTACACATTAAACACTAAAGAATTCAGAGTTTATTCAACAGCCAATTCAGGCTTCCCTGGCCATTGAGATTTTTGGCGTGTTGATCAATTCTGCTGCAAGAGCTTCCACATGAATAAAAAAAAAAAAATTATTGGAGCTTAGACTCAAATATCACATTATTGACCTCAATAATACATCAATTCTAAAGTTGCCTGGGTATTCTCTAGGCTTAAACTGAAAATAAGACTGATGACATGACCTACTTTATGAAAAATTTCACCAGAAAACTGAAACACCACACCATTGATCCCAATAGATCCCAATTCTCTATTTGGAATTTAAGAGGAATTGATGTTTTTTTTTTTCAAATTCTCCTTCATTTCTGCCCTTTTAGAAAAAAGGAATACATGGAGGACTAATGTCCATGCTGATGTTAACCTTGCTCTGCTGTTTGACTCCCCTTTCCCACTTCTGGAAATCACCTCTCATAAGAAACTCCCACAAAGACATGTGATCCTGCCCCCCACTGTGCTCGGGGACAAAGGAATGAACTCACAGATTGAATTCTCAAGAAGACTCCACAATATAAGGCAACAAGCCAAAGACCAGAATCTGCAGACTGGTTAAAGGCTAAGTGGACCTGGTGGCTAATCCCTGAAAAAGATTGCTTCAAAAACAGAATGTTCTGCAACACTTCTCACTGGGTTTACAGAAAACTTTGAGATGCCAGAGACTGTAGGGGTGGAGCATCTGAAAGGACACATCATATCTGCGTCAACTGCGACACTAACGCAGATGACCTGGTTTCTGAGCATAAACCAGGCTTTAAACGCAGTACACGCACTGTGCTTAGGGCCTGTTCTAAAAGGGGCCACATTTTGTCGATCATGTCAGATCAGGAGTCTGAATGTCACAATTAAATAAGATTTTGCTTAGGGCCCTGTTTTGGTGACACACAGTTCATTAATCCCCCCATAAATCATTAATCCTACAATTGAGGATCTCTAAGGTAGAAAAAAATTGTACTTTGAAAACTGGCTCACCATGTAAAACTGGGGAATAATACCAGAACTGGTTCACATTCCATTTGACTTTTATGAGAACTAAGCTTCCTATCATTGCAGCAATTAATCAAAAGCTTTATATTTTATAATATAATACTAAAAATCCGCCCAGGTGGCTGTGCAAATGTCTTTCAGGAAGGACACAAGGCTGGGCCGGGAGTAATGAAGTCTCTCTCTGGTTTGATAGATGTGGAATTTCCAATATTAAATAGTGATAGAGATGCACTTGAATGACTATTTGTTGATTGGATTGTATCTGTGGTGGCTGCTGAAAGCACTGAACTCTCACATCCTTCGTCATCTTTTAGCGTTGTTGCTGACTCTTTTGCCAGAGGGTTGCTGCCTGCAAAAAACAAACAAACAAAACAATGCCTTAAATGGTGTGTGTGTGTGTGTGGGGGGGGGGGGGGGGGTTGTTTGAAAACAACTGTAATAGAGAGACAAAACAAATAGTTTTTCCTGGTACCTGTTTCTGTAGAGCTTAATACACAAACGTCTCTCCTTGGATGAAGTTGGTTGGCACCAATGTTCCCATGATGGTTTGCTACCATGTAGATCTGTGGATTCAAATAGCAATGAATATAAAAAGCATATTCAGAATAGCAGAGTTTCATTCAACAGCATTTTCTCTTATATGTTTGTAATTTTTACACATTGATAAACAGAAGACATCTAGACAGATCTCACATTCATTTTAAGGTCATTTTACGCTAAATTAGTAAATTAAACCATTTACATTATAACTGCAGTGCTGCTCACAGGTGTACACATGTTCACAATGAGCCTGAAACTAGCATTCCAAGTCATCCTTTTTTAGAATGAAGAAAATAATTTCAACCAAAGAACAGATGAAATATTTTAAATTTAATGGACGGTTTCTCAAATCCAGGCTTGTATGTAAAGGTTCATATTTTTTACATAGAGTTCACACGATTTGTATCCATCAACATGAGTTAAGCAACATGGTCCAACCCCTTTTACAAGAAAAAAAATCAGTGAATTATTTACTATTAAATTGGCTTTCCAACCCAGGCTTTTATGTATTATGTACTCATATTTAATAGTTGAAGCTGCAGCCATCCTAGGATCCTGTTGTCCTGCTTTACTGATTTCAAAACCAGTTTTGATATTTGGAATCCTCGTCCACTTAAAACACCAAGTTATATCAAAGTTTGAAGCATCTAGCTTTTAACTTAAGGGTATTTTGAATAAACTAAGGGAAATCCTTGTTAATCTTATTTATCTCTTTTGTTCCAGCACCAGTAGCTGTGTAATAGACCCTCAGCATGATCCCATCTCCACCATGCTTGACATGTTTTCATTTAACTTTTTAACTTGATGTCAAAACAAGACAATGATTCCAAACTGCTTCTGGTTTTAAAAAAGCCAACATTGAGAATCTGGAAACCGGCTGACCGCCACAGTGTGTTTGGTCCAAGCCAGTTCTGATAAACTCCTAGCTGTATTGAAAATAAGATTCAGAAATCTGGTTAGATATATGCTAAAGCATTCTTGAGAGCATCAAGCCAAAATCTTTTCTTACATCTAGGTCGGTAAAATGTTATCTTGCAAGCATAATTTTAACAATGAGAGGATGTTAGAAAATCATCAGCATTAAATCCAAACATATCCATCATCATTCCACCAAGAAAAACAACAGCCCAAAAGCATATCCAGAAGCTTTAATTAATGAGATGTTCTCTTGGATGAATAATGGGTGTAAACTTCTGACCTGCACTGCTTTTAAGATGTAAACTTCTGTTCAGTTGTTATCTTACAAAACAGTGACTGAGTGTAATGATGCTGCTCCTACCTGAGGAACACTGGTGGTGGAAGTCTCAAACATGCTCTCATCAGTCGCACTGACCTCACTCACGTTATCCACAGAGGCCTGTTTGAGGTTCAGTCTTCTAGCTCTATGGAATAAAAGATCAATTAAAACCACCCATGCTTTGGAAAACCAAAGGGTAAAATTTTTAGTTTTCAAGAAAAAAAAAAAGTTAATTACTAATAGATAAGAGATAGATAAAAAAAAAACCCACAGATGATGATAATGACTTGTTTTATTTAGTAAAATATCACCTCTTCACCCTTTGTGGGTTACAGGTGAAACAAATCTAGCAAGCTCACAGACTGCACAAGCAAGCCAACCAGTCTAGTGGAGGAGGCAATTTAAGGCAGCGCTATTGGCGACCATGTAGCGTTTCCACGGGGGGTCATACCTCACCGGCTCCATTTAGTAGCTAAGGAATGACCTATTTTTGTGTGTAATTGCTGTAGAACAAGCTAAACCAACCATGTAATTGAAAGCGTGCCATCTCCACTGGGGAAGCAGGAGTGTAAATACTGGGATGTTGTAGGATGTGTGCGTGTTTGTGTGCATGGGGGGTATTTTTGTAAAGCTAAATAAAGAGAGAGAGAGAGAAAAAGCGGCAAAACAACAATAAAACAAATCAGTTACTTAAGGATATCTTGTGGGGAAATATTGCAAAAGAGTTGGGCTTCGCTCAGCCAATCAGGGTTCCATGTAAGGAACCCCCCGTCTTACAGAGACGCCAACATCACATTTGTTTGAAGAGCACCTTTAAGCTCTGACAGCTCATTCATTACAGGAGCAGATCATCCTCTGCCGTCTTTATGCTTCCAGTGAAAGAGAAACTGAACCAGAGGCCATTGGTGAGCCCTCAGTAAATTATAGTCAGCACTATATCATACATGTATTGGCATATAATTACCTTACAACTGAAACTTAGAATCTGTCCATTAATTTTTGCACAATTATTCTATGTAAATAGAAGAATCAATGGTGGCCCACTAACTGGCCACAAATTTATAATCCTTGATTCCTGTAGGAAGGTTGGGATTTTGGTGTCAATAACCCCATATAACAACCATTAGATACTATCTATATAAAACCAATTTATGGATTTAGAGATAAGAAAAAACTGTAGTCCTACCATCAAAAATGTAAAGAGACAAAGTTTGCTTAACTCAGGGGTGGGTAGAGTATCCAAAGATTGTACTGAAAAAATAGTAGCCCTACTTTATTTTATCTATTTTTTTATTTTTTACTGAATTAAAAATAAAAAGTAGTCTTCTAGGAAATGACTCAAAAACTTCCTCTAACATTCAACGCTTTATACATTGGTAGAGGGATTGATAAGCTGACAACCTAGGAGGATAAATATATTTTCAGGATCATGTTGGTAGCCAGTAAGAAAGCTGTAACTAGTAATTCACTGAAAACAGAGGCTCCAACAAGGGAAGATTGGGTTTAAGTAATGCATAATATTTATATAATGGATAACTATTTCTTTTAGATTCAAATCTGGCAAGTTTAAGAAACACTGGGAAAACTGGTTGAAATTTATATGACCAGTCATTTTGTTGTTTGAAAAAATTAGGGTTGAGAACCTCTTAGAGCCAAATATTTAGAGCATTCTTCTATAGTTTTGGTCTCTTTTTGTGGGGTGTTTTTCTTTTTCTTTATGTTCTTTTTTTTGTTTTTGTAAAAAAATATATATATGTGTATTTCTATGGTAGTTGACATTAGTAAATATATCCATAAGTAAGGAGGAGGTGAAGGGATTATTTTTCTTTTTCTCATGAAGGAATGTGAGTTAGGATAAAAGAGTTTAATTGTCCCCTAGCTCAAGTGCATTTAATTTGGCTTTGTAAAGTCTATGTGGGAAATGGATGTGATGGATAACATTTTTGAAATTCACTCAATAAAATGTTAATAAAATAAAAAAGAGATGACTCAAGTAAAAGTAAAACAAGTATTTGGTAGAAAGTCTACTTGAGTACTGAGTAACTGTTAAATAATAATAACATCAGATTTAATGTTTATAAATGATGTTGGCAAAAAGACTTTTTGTGTAACTTCGGGCATTTTAAAGACTAAAATGACTAAAGAATATAAATAAATGTCATGAATACAAAAGAACAAATTCGTGCAAAAGAAATACTTTAATAATTTGTTTTTCTTCAACAATCTTTACAATGAGAAGTGTATATATGTAGGGGAATGGTGACACACTTTCACTGTTAACAGCTACAGTTTAATGTATGTTTACTTGATTTTGGAATAGTTCAAATTATTCACAGAGGACATACTTTACAAGAATATTACTCAAGAAAATGTAAGAAGTACAGCAGAGTAAACCTACTCCTAAGAGTACTTTTTTTTTTTACTTGTTACCCAAGTAAATCTAACTGAGTAAATGTAACTTACTACCCACTTCTGCTTAAAGCTAGTAGGAAGTTACCTACTGGTTGGATGATGAAAAGACTTTACTTTACTACCTCATGCTTTAAATACTTTAAATATAATAGGAGATGTGATATAATGTGGGTCTGTTACTGTTCCAAAGTCTCCTGTAACCTTTTAGTTTACAGGAATTAATGGGGTATTTTAAAATGAGAATAAATTGGACCTCACCAGGTATTTCATTGTAAAACATTATCCAAATTAAAGTCCAAATGAACTAAAGAATTATGGAACAGCTTCAGTCATGTTGGTAAATGATGATTAAAACCATTTCATAGGTGGATAAATGTTGAATTCTGACCAAATATCTATAATGTTTCCACATGACTTGCTCAACTTTTTGTCCTACACCTTAAATCTAGACTTCAATGCTATCAGGGCTTAGTTCAAACTCACCGGAAACAGTAGGTGATACAGGCGGTGATAGAAAGGAGGGAAATAAGCGCCACCATGCAACTAGCAACCAGCAGATTCCTTTCTTTCTCCTTCTCAGCCCGCTGGAGCTCCAACCATTCCAGGTCACTGAACTGACATCTTTCCCCCATGTAGCCTGGTACACAACTGCAGAATGGTAGAGAAAAGAGTAGATTATTGTGCTATATAGTGAAATTCTACATTTTAACATCATTTAACCTGGTTGAAAGGTTTCATCTAAGATATGCCCTTAGATGAAATTCTCAAGACTTAAAATAAAAAAGAGTTCATCACTGGTCTTTGATCAAATCGGGGAAAAAGCCTTCATGTAAACACAGTTTAGTAACCAGCCAGTTAATTTCACAAATTCATCAATAAAAAACTATTCACACCCACATTACAAGATCAGTGTAGAATTCCAATGGAGAAAGAAAATGGTAGAATTTTTCAAAGAATGGTCTGGTGTGCATTTTATTTTAGACCACTTGAGTCAATCTTCATCAGAACCATCCATCCATCCATCCATCCATCCATCCATCCATCCATCCATCCATCCATCCATCCATCCATCCATCCATCCATCCATCCATCCATNCATCCATCCATCCATCCATCCATCCATCCATTTTCCGTCACGCTTATCCCAAGCGGGGTCACGAGGGATGCTGGTGCCTATCTACAGCTGTCTATGGGCGAGAGGTGGGGTCCACCCTGGGCAGCTTGCCAGTCCATCACTAACGTCCATCATTAACCTAACAGTCATGTTTTTGAACTGTTGGAGGAAGCCAGAATACCCAGAGAGACCCCATGAATGCTCAGGGAGAACATGCAAACTCCATGCAGAAAGGCCCCATTAATCAAACCCGGAACCTTCTTGCTGCAAGGCTTCCCACTGCTCCACTGAGCAGCCCTTCTACCTTCTCATATAATTAGAAATCAAAGTCCAGCTTTGCACAACTATAAAATAACATTTATAAAACACATTGTGGAAAACACCTCAGTCAGATTTGACAGTCTGTGTCTGTTCACACAAACCATATTATTAATATTTCAATAATCAAATAATCAAGTCATTCTACAGATTCCAATAGGATTTGCATCTATACTTTGACTAGACTGCTCCAACCGATAACTGTGGTTTTATCTGAACCGCTTTATTGTATGTCTGTCTCTATGTGCAGGTTACTGTTTACTCCTGGAAGGCTCCACCCTGGTGCTTTGCAGCCTTCCAGGTGTACAGGTATGCAGCTCCATCCATCTTCCATTCAGCCCTCACTAACCTCCCTGCCCTTGGCCTAGAGAGCAACCCAAAAGCATGAGGCTTTCATCACCATGATGTCATATGTTCAGGGTGTTAGTTTTTAGAGCAGAAAACCATCATTCACATGGTTTCCATGTCCAACACATCTTCAAGCAGCTGAGAGAGCAATGGTTCTCGTGATTTCCCCTTAACATTGGCTTCATTCTGCCACTCTTCCACAGAAGTTAGATTTAAATTTCAATTATCTGTCATCTGATTCTCTACATGTTAGTTTTGGATCTATACAGCTCCTACATCTTTATGAGTTAAGGTTGTGATTTGCTCTACATGTTCCCAATGAGCATATGTGTCCTTTCCCTTTGAGTCACATCCACAACGTTTGTGTTGCTCCACAACAAATTAAACATACTGAACAGAAGTTGACAGAGTTTAGACTGTGATGAATTGATCTAGCTTTTTTTTTTTTATCTAACTGACAACATTAAAGCGGTTCTGCTGAAAGTATTTAAGTATTTAGTGTTTAATATGGTTAAAGCATGTCAGATTGTAATAATTTATAATAAGGACTGACGTGTCTTCCAGACAGACAGGTGTTTTCAGGTCCCAGATGATGGAACAACAGCGACACCTGGTGATTCTTAGCCAAAACAACAGCTAACATGTTAACTGTAATCTTTCACCGAATGCTGTCTTTTTAATAATTTAGTATACTGCATAATCTGAAGCATGAAGTTTTCATCAAACTCAGACTTTAAGCTTTTTGTTCAGAGAGACATACCAGAAATAAGGATATATATTTACTTGCAGGCATAGGAGTCCATTTCAGGAAAGTAAATGCAGGCTCCATAATACAGACAGTAAGCATCATGGCTGGGGGGGCACTTCTCTGCTGGGTTGCTTTTGTGGCGCTGGGTGGTCACATCAATGTGGCTTTGAGATGTTGCCCAGGGTGAGGTGGTCTCTAGTGCTAGAATTGTAATTTTAGTTGTTTAGAAAAATAAACATAATAATATCATTATGAAATGAGTTTAAATTATAAAGGGGTTTTCTATATGGATGCTATCAATACAAATCCAGCAAACACCTAATTGTCCTAAAACATGATGATATTGAATAGCAGATAAGCCTTTTTTATCATACTTTTAGAATGCTCAAAATTCTTTTGAACAATAATGAAAGAAATGGCAAAGAAATAACTTGAATAATTGTTGGAAGTTCCATCATAGACAGATTTAGAGCAAGGTGGTTTAACCCTTGCTAGAATGTAAGTGAAGGTTCAGTATTAACAACCACAAGTTAAAGTAAATCCTTACCCAGGCATGTTCGTCCATCACCTGTAAAACCTTCCTGACATAAACAGCGGGGGTGCCCAGCATCCAGCAGACACGTGGCGTTTACAGCACAGAGGAGCGAGAAGCAGTCCTTCTTATCTGATGGGAGAAGGACACATGAAAACAAATGATTCAGAAAAAGTTGCTCAAACATAAAAATAATAGCCATTATGCTAATGGAGATATATAAATAAATACCTGAAATCATCTTTTCAGTAAACAGAGCTGGTTCACTGCCCCCATCTGAATGGAGGTCAGCGTTCCTATTATTACCCATCGGTGGTTCACTGTCCTCATGTAAGGTTTTGTTTTTGAGAGACGTTAAACCAGAACTTTCACTCTCTTCAGATTCTAAACAATAATTGTATGAGAAATATGAACATCTGGGTTAGTTTAGTTTAAATTAGTACAAAACCAAACATGAATTGGAAGTTGGCCACTTTACCTGCAGTTACATTTGAAGCATTGACAGATAAGCAGTTTTTTCCATCAGCTGACAGGGTAAAGTATGGCAAACAGGAGCAGCGGGAAAATCCCAGCTTGCTTTCACACTCCTGAGCACATCCTTGGTTTAAGTAAAAACAAGCATCGGCCCCTAAGGGGGAGAAATTTTGCAAACATGAGCCTCGTTTTTCTATAGGATCCATTGTTCTCACTGGTTCTTTTCTCAATTTTGAGAGCATATTTTCTATGTGGCATACAATATCCAGGGTTTTAAATGTTTTCCTCAGTTGCTCTTTACACTCTTTGCAGTTCTTTACACTGCAAAAATGGTCTAGAAATGAGATATTCCCTAAATCAAGGATATTTCCCTTAATTTGAGTAGATAAATAAGCTAATTTGTCAATTTTACTCCTAAAATAAGATATTTAGAACATATGCACTTGAAATAAGACAATAAAAAAGATTGTTCTTATTTTAAATGTAAATTGTCTTGTTCCATTGGCAAAGTGTCTCAGCTACCTCCTCAATTCAAGAAAAAATAAATGACTTATTTACGGTAGGTTTAAATTTTTTGCATTGTACTTCTTTACATCTATTATTAAAATGTCCTCACATTTTTATATCTGTGTGGTAACGTTTCAGAACATATCTATTGATTTGTTACCTGGTTTAGCAAGAGGGTGTACCACTACAACTGATGCTGGCTGAAAGAAGTTGCCATGGATACGCTGAAGCTTCTTCCCTGTCCGCTTGTGTATGCTCCGTATCTGCTGGTGTTCCCACTCAGAGACCCACAGCCTGTCTTCAAAAACCACCAGGTCAAACGGACGTCCTAGAAAATCCCAGCAGAAGGCGAAAGGATGTGACTAAGGAATTATTAGTTAGGATTTAATGCTTAACGGCATAAACAAGGAATCACTTCAAGAAGGATTTTTACACATTTTAACAAATGTTTAACTGGATGGGATTTCAATATTACTGAATATGAAGTGCTTTAAGGCTCAGATCTCAAACCAATGATCAATTTCATGTTTTTCTGTTGTTGCCCATGTAATCATTAACCTGACAACAGCCAGATGCATGTCTCGCTCCGCCTAGCTGAGCGAGACATGCATCTGGCTGTTGTCAGGTTATGTAATCATGGTTTTAGGCAAAAAGTTTACAGCTTTATATTACAAAGAAAGATCAATCTAAGACTATTTCTTTACAACTAAAATGAAATAATGCTCGCCCTGAGTGTAAACCCACAGAGAAACAAACTGAAACTTAGCCTATGTTGCCAAGGCAGATGTCAAGTTCTCAAAAATGGAGCACAGGTGTTGAGTACACTGTTGGATTTTGATCCAGACTTCAAGATTCAAATAAATCATTATTATAATGTCAGCCTTTTATGATTTACAAACATTTACCAAACAAGCGTGTAAGAGAATTGATCCTGATAGCAATTCTAAAGTTCTTTGAGAGGATATTGGAGTTTAGTAACACCATCTTTGTGGCCCCTGAAATCAGCTCTAAAATACTGCACACAGCTTTTCCTCACAGGTACCAAACCTAAAGCTTATATTTTATTTTTCTCTTGTTCATGCACTGCTGTAAAAATCAAATTAATATTCAAATGTACTTTTATGGAAAGCATTATACAGCCTCCCTTCAAATAAATCCCCATGCAGTGTTAAAAATGTAATTCCAGCGCCTTAGAAAGCGACTCTGCTGTGTTGCTCTAGATTATAGAATGCACTATTTCAAATTAGGGGAAGCTGCAATTTGGTTCTGTGGACCATTTGATTTTATGTAAGGTCAAATCATTTATCTTTGCAAATCTGGATTAAAAAATGCTTAATGAATACATTTTGAATTCCCCCACAAGATAAGATATACTTCATTTGTTTTGGCTCAACAGTAGATTGTTGAATTAACCTTCCCTCATACATTTCCCCCTAAATTTTCCATTACATAACTTAACTGAAACATGCATTAAAGTCAGGATATTTTAATTAGTTAATTGCAGATGTCTAAATTCACTTGTAAACTCTTCAAACAAGCCTCACCTACTTGGTTCTCTGATAGAATCTGTCGATCAGAACCATCCAAAGCAGCCGTTTCTATTAGGCCCCTTATCTGGTCGCACCAGAAGAGCCGATTGTCTATGAAATCGATGGTCAGACCAGTTGGTGACAAAAGGCGGGTGCTGGCAATAATAACACGGTTACTTCCCTCCAGAGTGGCACTTTCTACCACAGGCCGGGAGCCTGTGTCAGTCCAGAATAACCTCCTCCAAAAGTAGAGAATACATACAAAACATTACAGGGATTAAAGATATTATAAATTCAGGTTAACATTTACACAAATTAGATGTATAAACTTGCTTTATTACTGTGAATATTATTTTACTGAATATCAAACAGAGCAGAGGATGAAAATGGGTTTAAATGTAAGAGGAGTATCATTCAAAGGGCTGAAGGCACTCATTTTATCTCAAGCCGAGAGCTTTGAAAATTATTCACACCCTTCAAACAACCGGGAATAAGGGATTGTTTCTTTTGACATAAACTGTTATATTTGTGTGAAAAGTTAAGACTTCATTATTTATTTGTTTTCTTTATTATTTAAATCAACTGGAACAACAAATCAACTCAACTTACTTTGCTTGTGGATGAACTGCTATTCCTCTTGGCTTTTGCAGCCTCTCCTTTATAACTGTTTTCCTGTTCCCTCCATCCAAAGTACTGCAGTCAACAGCTGACTTACTAGGGAGCAAACATATGTGTGTACAAACATGACATTTTTTTTCCCCCAGCAGATAATAAAGAAACTAAAATGTCTTCTCAATTATTTCCTCCTTAAGGTTGTGGCATAAAAATGAACAAACTGCATAAAAACACAGTTTTATTAGCTTCAAATAGAATTATTAGACAGCATTCCACCAGTGACTGCTCACCCTTTATCAGTCCAGTATATGTTGCGGTGGATCCAGTCAACTGCCAGTCCTTCTGGAGAGTCTAAACCATTATATACAAGAATGTTTCTGGTCCCAGTGTTCATATCAACCCGCTCAATAGTCTTCTGGCTTGTGCTGGCATAATAAACCTTGACCAAAATTGAAATAAAAAATAAAATGTTATCCAAATATACTCAATGCAAGCACAGAGCAAGAGATAAAAATGGCCACTAGATGGCTCTGTATGTCTATGTTAAAACGTTGGCATCTCTCATTGGTGCAGCAAGTCCTATTCTTACTATGCTATATCTAAAATCAATGGAATTAAGTGTTGAAAGATGAAGTTGAGTTTTACATGGTGGTGGACAGGGTCATAGTCCAGAGCTAAGATGATTCCTCTGGGTTCCTTAACCAAAGTTTGTTCCTCAGTTCCATCAGGGTTCATTCTTCTAACATCCATTAGATTGGCGACAATTAGAAAGGCTGGAGGTCCTGAAAGAAAAATGCACATTATAATTAAATGCATCACAGTGAATCTTACGCTGCAAATAGAGCGCCATGGGGATTAGTCTGACTCTGCTGACTACTTTGTTATAGAGTAACTCACCAGTTGCAATGCAGCGTTTACCATCATTGTGGAGCTTGTAACCAGACAGACATCCACACTGCCAGCGGTTTGGTCTGACTGGGGTACACAGCTGACTGCAGCCACCTCTGTCTGCTGAAGAGCAACCTGGAACAAATCAGTTTGAACACAGACCCATTTTAAACTGTTTAGACGTTTGCTTTCAATGTTTTCATTTTACTTTTTCTGTTTCTCCACCAATACACAGATAAAAAAGTCAATCTCTCTCCAAGTCTTTCTAGTGGTGCAAATAAGAAACATTGTTGGTGGTCTTTTGTTAGGAGCATTTATGCAACGCATGGATCTAGTCTGAGACCATTGTGCATTATTGTGCATCCATATTGTGCATCATGATTAGTAGGTTTCAGGTTATGGTGTTTATTTTTTCAGCCGTCTCTTAAGCTTTAAGCGAACAGCTACTGACTATTAAGTCTCTATACCAGTTAGTCTCCATATAAGCCTACTAGACAGAATGAGACTAAACTGATTGATTTTAAGCCTTATCAGAACTCACATGTAACCCACCATTGGAAAACTAAAAAAAAATTCCATGAAAAACATTCTATAGAGTGGAAGTTATTACCAAGACAAGAGCATTCAAAGATATCTATCATAAGTTGCCCTAATGTGTAGAAAAATTAAAATTAGAGAAAAAATCATGGATGTATAAATACATTGAAAAAGAGACAATTTTCTGCAAGATGCTGAGATATAGCAGTGATTGCTTCAATGAAGCATGCAACTTAATTGGAAGTCTTTTTGCAGTGCAGCAACATTACTTTGATTTTTATTTTTATTTTTTGTGACCTTTCAACCTCTGTGAGTAATGGAATATACTGGATTAAAAAATGTAAGCAGCCTAACTCAGAGTTTAAGTAAAAACATGCCTGATCTAAGAATAAAATAGAGATGCAGCTCTTCTCACATTATTTTTATTTATTTATTTACTAACCCTATTTTGCAATGGGCGTATTCTCTTACTGGTTGATGCCCCTTCTCCTCTGATTATAAATAAGTAGTCTTATTGTAGAATGATAAGAACAAATATATATTTTCAGTCATGTTCTTTTACCCTTATTTGGGAATACACCCATCTGAAAAACTCTAGTATACAGGATTATTCTAGCTTGTGCTCCAATGCACAAATAAACCCATAATTTAATGAGGCCCTTTACTTTTAGTAAGAAAGTCAAATCATAATAGGTGAAAGTGGACATTGACGGACATTAAAAGGACAGAGTGTATCAGATAAGAAAAAATAGAAAAAAAAATCTTAATACATTTCTGTTTAGAGTTTCTTTAAAAATGGAATAAACAACCTCACATTAATCAGTAAACACAAAGAAAAGAAAAGAAGAAAATATAAAATTGAGAAAGAAAATGAAGAAAAACAAAAAATAAATTAATGTATTAAGGGGTAAAGGTTATGACGAATGAATGTGATCCTGAATGCTTAATTAGAAGGAACCTTGGATTGATTTTATAAAGAAATTTGATTTCTCATCCAAAGTACTTTTCAGCTCTTAACATTGTTAGAAGTATCAGGCTTATGGTATAAGATGTAGTCGGAACAGTCAGACCAATAGAGGCATTAAGGTCTCTAACGAAGTCATTACAACCGTCACTAGCTGTGACTACTATTTAGGTCAATGTTTCGGTCATTGTTCCCAGAAGATCCAAATGTGTCTAATGATGGCATGTCGATTGTTTAGGTCACATGTCTGCTGAAAAACCAGCAGAGGATATGAGTCGGGGCTATACTGTAGAGCTGGTGTTGGAAGAGGAAATCTGAGGCAGTCCTCACTATTTGGTTCTGATTGCCATGTTTAACAAAGTAGACTTCTCTCACTACTGTCTACTACTGTCAAAGTGCATGTCTCTCATGTCCATGGTGCTTTCTTCATATAAATCCCTCTTGTTGTTGAAGCATAGGTGAATTGCTGATTCTTGATCCAACAGGATTCTTCTTCCTCCTCTGGAAGATATCCAACTAATCATCTTATGTGAAACTACGCTTAGAAATTAAGGAGCCTTTTGTATAAGAGAAATATACATGAGGTAATAAATGTAACATGTAATGTAGTGTTTTTTTAATTAAACGGACATGTATAATAGCTGTTTTTTTTATTTTTTTGGAGAAGTTCCAATGTGCAAATCTGATTCCATCTCAGTCACTGATATTAATATAACCATTATGGTGGATAACCAAATTATGTATTTTTATATCCTCTGGACATAACCGACCACAAGGCATCGGAGGTATACTGATATGACTGAAAATGGCCAACATCAGCAGGTACTGCTAATGCTGATATATATCATGCATTCCTGGTGTCTAAATGTTCTTCTAGCTCATGAAAGATTCCTCCTCATGTATGAACACTGGTTGTTTTCACATGGGGGGCATTTTTACCTCAGGCAAGATCTAAAACATCCCTGATATGTAAATCTTTCAATAAAAAGTGAAAATAAGGTTGTTAAACTTGATGTAACTGGTGTCATATTTTTAGTACCAGTGCAGGCGTGTCCATTTTCCTGTAGAATAGAATCCTCAGGACAGACACACATGGGACCATGTTCTGTTGCTATACATCCATGGCCGCACTTTATGTTGCTTTCACATGGTGTTATTTCTGTAAAACAAAAATAATGAATAAACAGTTTCATTTAGTACCAAAATGTAACCAAAGAGCTTTAAATTCGTAATTATTAAAAAATCTGCGTGGCACACTGTTGTTTGGAAATGTATATTAACACAGTGAAAGTCGAGCTCCTTATTTAGGACTTTAGGGCCTATTTTAGGGCCTCGCTGGTGGTAGATGAGCTTCTTAGGCAATGCTCTGGTGAAATCCCTTTATGAAATCAGGTCTAAGCCCATTGAAATAGTAGAAAGGTGAGAAGCTTGCACACTAAGGGCTCACAGGGCAATCATATCTGTTCAAGTGAAAGTGGGAGAGATATGTAGAGGCAGGATGTGATGCTAACGTGTAAAAATATCTTTTATTTATTTATTTTTATTTTTTTGCCAATATTTATACAGTCAGCTAGTGAAATGTAGAAAACATACCATGGGATTATTTGAAGTTGTTTGAAGAGTGAGATTAGGAATTATGTAATGATGAATTTGTCCAATTGATGTTTTTAATAGAGAAAGTTTGAATTTTGAACAAAACCAGCATGATAAAGCTGCATATTTTGCAGATTTTTTATTTTTAATAAATGTCCTATTTTGCTTTTGTTTTTTGTTTTTTTCACTAAAACTAAAGACGACTCCCTGCAGCCCAGGAAACTCACCCCCAGGTAATCTCTGCTCTCATCTCTATTGTCTAATGTGTTGGTTAGTCACATGCTTATTTTCCACTGGACCTTGCTAAAGGTTGGTCACTAAATACTTTCAACACACAAAGCTGCTGACAAGATGTGTTCCTCAATGCAAATGTCACCTCACCGTCTAATCCCATTGTGCCTGGGAAACTCTCCTGTTGTGCTCCTCTACCAGCAGTAAGATTAGTGGAGAAGAGATTAGCAGGACAGTTGGACAAAAATAGCACACAGGCAGTTTTATGCTGCTTATACTAGCCTATCACCTGTTTACCACTACCCGATTTTGTGTCTATTTAGCTCTAATTTCTAATAATGATTTCTAAATCTTGGTTAGGGTAAGTCTCAGCTCCATCTGCAATGCATACAACATCAGATCAACGGAAACTGCAAAAATTATAAAGCAGAGAGATACATGTTCACAGCAGCAGTCTGTGGTATACCTGCTAAAGATGTCTATAAGGCTTAGAAATACATTTATTTTTTATATCAGATGAAAAATAAAAAAAATAAAAACATTTAAAAGTACATTTTAAACAAATATATGTATTCAATGCAAGAGAGACAATCTAGTTTTCCTGTTTTTTTTTTTATATCAACATAATTGGTGCTGGATTGATTGATACTAAAAAAGGTCTAAAATAACAATTACTTCAATGTTTAATTTGTTTGTAGATCTTAGAGAAAGGTTTTATCAGAATCTTTACATCCTTATTGTGTAAATAAATTAGAGGAAGAAGCCACTTTCATTATCCATTACAAAAGCCTTGCTGCTAGCCCGAATAACCCATGTTTTAGAATAGAATAGAACAGAATAAAAATTCAGATATTTTGTTGGCAAAGCAAAATTGCTAGTAAAAGCACACAAGTACAAACACAACTTAAGATTGTAAACATCGGAATGCAAACACAAATCATTAATTAGGACAGACTGTACAGTGAAAAGCAAAAGCAATGCATGAAAAAATAAATTATATGCAGTGATAGTTATGGCAGACAAAAAAAACCATCACTGCCTGAAACACTGACACCTTGGGATCAACAACTTACATCTAAGTGCGTGGAGATATTTCCTTTGGTTAGATTAGATGAAGATTGAGATTATTTTTCATCATGTGCAAGAAAAAAGAAGTAAAAAAGGAAGAAAAAGAAGAAAATTATCTTATTTTGTTATGGGGCTGTCCCTCTTTGAAAGACCTTGGGATCAGTCCAAGTATTGGGACAATTGTTCAACACAGGAGAAGTCAGCCAGTAACAACATCAATGTCTCTTGGTCATCTCAACCTAGAATTAAATCCTATAGAAAACCTGTATAGTAAGATAAAGAGGAGGATGCCAAAAAGATAGTTAGTTAGATAGATAGATATCACCCCATTATTTAGGTCCTTATTTTAAGTATCTGTGATTAAGCTTAGGTGAAAATTCAATCTGGAAGACTGAACTCAGCTTCACCTGGACCACCTGAGATGTCTCTCTCTCAAGCTTCAGCCAATCAATGTCGAGACTGCACTTCCTTGAAAGCCAATCATCTTTCAAGGTCCCATTCATTTAGATTCTGGCCAAGCTTCCCTCTTGCATGCAGCCAAATTTTCACCCACCTCCACCCAATCTCCTCCCTCACTCTCAGACTATTTTCAGTCCCACTCATCCTCTGTCTTATTCCATCACCAGTGTCCGGGCCTCAGGTGGAAGACTACTTTAATCATTTTCCTAGGTTACTCATCCAAGTGAATGTTGATTCACATCATCAAAGTCGTTTACCGGGGCCTGAGTGCCAAATAACTAATTTCATTCATGTCATTATCGTTATGCCTCCCTCTGATTCCTTGAACCCCAGTCAACCTCGGCAGATGGCTGCTCACACAGAGCCTGGTTTTCCTGAAAGTTCTTCCTGTTAAAGGGGGGGGTTTCCTCTTCATGTGTGGCCACAAGCATGCTTGGTGTGAGGGATTACTATTAGGGTGTGCATATGTTGTAAATAAGCACTATATAAATACACTGAATTTAATACAACTTTTCTAATTGAGACTTTTCTGTGTGTGAGTTTCTCCAGGTTGAAATGAACTTTTGTTGTATGACCAAAATAAAGTTTGGGAGTTAAAACTTTGGGCAATTTAGCAGTACAACAAATAATCAGGAGGTTCAACTGTTAATGTATCCAACATGGTGAGGTTTGTTAATGTTTATTGTTTATATTATTTAGATTTATTTGATGGGATATTTGTCAACAATTGTTGATAACAGTTTTGATTTAATTTGGAATGAAACTGCTCTCCATAACATCAAAGTTCGTGGTTCGGTGTCTTTCCATAAGACCTGATTGTCTGAAAGTTATGGGTCCAATAATTAACCGCAGTCATCCAGCTCCTCAATAATCACAGCAGCCTCAAATCACCACACTATCACCACTTTGTTAGACTGTTGGCATGATGTTCATTTTGTCAAATGTGCAGATTTTAGTGCAGATGATGTGCACCTTATTGATGCCATTTCCGGTCTCTTTTCCTTATTGTTAAATCAGCCTGAGAGCTAATAATATCTTGATAAAAATAAAAAAGCATGTGTGTCTTTATTCTGTACCTTGGCATGTCCTACCATCAGGTAGGAGGGTGTATCCATTGGGACAAGTACAGAAATAGGAGCCTGGGATGTTTTCACAACCAAGAGAGCAGCCGTGGTTCCAGTGGGCGCATTCATTCACATCTAAACCACATATAAAGACTTGATGAGGTAACCGTGTTATAATCAGATGAATATTCTCATTTTAATGCTAAGTATTTTTCAAACACGTTTTATGGAAAAATTTCTTCATACATATGTTAAACACATTAAAAATTTAAAATATATCTATGGCAGCTGAAACAGGTTTTATCAAATACCAAAAAATATCCAGAAAATGACTTAAAAAAGACCAAGGGTCTCATTTATAAAGGTTGTGTACGTAAAAATACAGGATCAGGAACTTGATAAGCAAATTTACACTCAATAGTTGGGATTTAAAAAAACATGGCATGGAAATGTGCCGGTTGTCATGCCAACTCTGAGCCATTTATATGAATATGCACATTTTGGAGACAAGGGGAAATTGATAACACAGATGGCAATAAGGGGAACTGTATGAGAACTGAAGCCAGATTGCGTCATTTCAAATGAAGAATAGAGACATGCATAAATACCGTATTTTCCAGACTATAGAGCGCACCTCACAAAATTTTTTGAAAAAAATTGAAACGCACAAATATAAACTGCATTGGTCTATAAGCTGCTGTTATCTACTAAAATGTCTCCCACCTAACCTGTAGGGGAAGCTCTACATATTGCCCCTGGAGTAGGGATGAAGAAGAATGCTAGCTGCCATTAGTTTGTTGGCTCACAACAGTAAGAGCTTCTACTGACCCATGGGGATTTCTCAGGTCTTCATTTCAACTCTGCAGGAGTTTAGCCTTGTCTCTTCATTGGTTCAGCAGCTTAAATGCAGCAAAATAAATGTTGTACTAAATGAAAATTAGCCCCTTATTCTTTCATTTCCAACTTTGATTCCTCCTCTGTTTGTTAGGAAAAATCAACACAAATGCTGCACCTTCTTATAAACTGCATGGTTCAAAGCATGTGAAAAATAGTAGCGGCTTATATTCCAGAAAATACGGTACTAAACTCCCAAGGTATGTTAAACCAATGTCTGGTATCGTTGCTGACACCCGGTTAGAGGAGCGGACCCTTTTTAGACTAGACAGAACATTAGCTATAAACCTAACGAAAATGTCTCTATCATTATTATAATATTTATTATTTGAACATGAAGTTCTTCACTCCCTACCTACCTTCACAATGAGTGCCATGCTTACTGAGAGCAAAGCCTTCAGAGCACTGGCAACGCCCTTGGTCCTCCAAATGGGAACACACGCTCATGCAGTCCCCACTCAGGTCACTGCAGCCTGTTTAAACATTATTTAATTATATTAAATTTAATTATATTAGATTTTTTTTTTTTATATGTCACTGATGCTTATCTTAATAAATCAATTTTGATTTAAGGGACATAAAACAGAATAAAATAAATATAGTCTTGTTGTGACCTGAAAAGGATGACATAGTGTTTGCCGCTGGCTGGATGAGAGGATGCACCACCTTTATATCCACAGGAGGTTTGACCAGCGGTTTATTATTAACGTTCCCTGGTTGTCCTCCAACGTATTTGTTTATTTTCTTTATGATGCGGGCTGCAGCATCTGTGTAATAGATGTTCTCCAGAAAAACTGCAATCCAAATTGACTGGACCCTGAAAAAATATGCCAACACTCAGATTAACATCTTTTTGCACTAGAGACAAATGTCAGATTTGTAAAATAAAATTGTATGCATAACTAGTCAGAGAAGAAAACATTTTTACTGAAGTGGCAGGTCCATGATGTGCAGGGAGCTTCCGCTGTAATCACAGGAAGCAATGGAGCTCTCACCCAGGCGACCAACTTCAACCCAGAACAACCTTTTGTCTTTTCGGTCGATTGACAGAGCTCTAATTTCCTCTGCTATCTTCACAACAGTCATTTTCATTTGTCCTGTGAGATCAGATCGTTGGATTTCTGAAGTTGTCTCACCAGAAAGCCAAAACAAAAACCTGCAAAACATTTTATGAACTGTTGAAATAGATCCGTGAGTATTTCCTAGGAAAACCTTTTCCCACATTAGTCAATCACTCTTCTTTTCTACAACTCTAAAACTCCATGCTAATAATAGAAACTTTAAATATTTTGTTTTTAAAGTAATATACGAGTTCATTTTTATTCAGCTGTAGAATCATAACAATAGGACAAAAACTATACAGTCATATAAAAAAAAAATTAAGTATTATTTTGGCATTGTAAAAAAAAAAAAAAACACTTAATAAGCAAAAAAATTGTGTAATATCTGCAAACCATATATATAATGGAAGGAAATGCATCATCCCCTCAAAAGCAAAAAAAAAAAAGAAAAACTTTTGAATCTGAAGGCATGACCCCAATTAGAGTTCCGTTATTCAAGATATTTTTCATAAAATGTGACAGAACTATTTCTATTAATCTGCACCATAAAAGATGTATCGTCATCACAGTATAACTGCAATGCAAAAAAAAAAAAAAAAACGATCTAGAAATAAGCAAAAATTTCAAAAAACCATTGTATTTATCCTTAATTTTAGTAGATAAGATGAGTTGCCTATGGAATTAGTATTTTTACACTTAAAATAAGATAATTAGATAATATGTGCTTGTACTGTAAGAAGACAACCGAAGACAACAACAGTTGCTTTTTCTTATTTTAAATATAAAATGTCTTGTTCTATTGTAAAAGTGTCTCATTTACTTCCTCAATTCGAGAAAAAATGCATTTATTTGAAGAAAAAATGACTTTGTTTGATATAACTTTTTTGCAGTGTATATCTATTACCTGTTAGCGGGATCAGCATTAATAAAACGAGGCATAAGCAAGTGTCTTAAAATGGTCCTCTTAGTTTTTCCATTCAGATCCATTTTCTTTATTTCGCCCTTTCTACTGTTTGTCCAGTAGACACTGTTTCCCATCCAGTCCACCGCCAGGCCTGAGATGTATTTATCAGATGAGTGAAGTTTCTGCAGAGCAAACAATCATTTAAATACAGTTAATCAGCAGTTTCAAGAACTTAAAACAGCACATAGAAGTCTCCAGCTGAGAAGTATCCATTCATTAAAATGATGAATATTGTTTTCATCTAGAAGTTCATTGATGATTATTTTTCCAGAGTTAAATGGTTGTCAAACTCTGATCCATTAGGGTCTGTGTCCTGCACCTTTAAAATATTTCAAACCTGACTGAATGCTGAGGAGACAAATCAGTATGGCGTCATATTTATATCAAAACACCCACGAGCAAAATAACCATACTCGCATGCATGTTAACCTACTTGTGCACCTGGTTTATCTACTACAGCAGAACAAAATCACACATGCGCAAGAAACTGCCGCTTTGAGAGGAGAAAATCACTCTCTGCGTGCACCAGCTCCCCACACACGAGCTTGGGATCGTGCTAAGGATCTCACAGCAGGCACTGTTTCCAATCCAGCATCCACTCTCGAGGACAGCTGCGCTCTCGAACGCCCTTATATACCGTTATATACTCTGCCTCTGCAGCACTGAGTGACTCCAGAAGTGGAGTATATAAGGGGAACAAAACAAAGGGTGGACTAAATACTCAGAGGTGTGAGTGGAACTAACTAGAAGGAAGCCAAGGGGAAATGAAACAGAGAGTAACTAAAGACTGCTTGAATATTATGGAAAATAAACCAAAGGTTAACAAAACAGAAAAACTAATAACTGAAAACTAAAAACTCAGAGTCCCAAAAGGGGAGAACCTTGACAATTTTTTGGGAAATAACTGGATCTTAGTTTTCGGTGGTGTTACAGACAAAATGAGCCTATTTTTGTCATCATCCAGTGTTTTTTCGGATCACCACAACAAAAAACAAGCTAGGATCTGAAAATAATGAATTCTAAGTTGATGACAAATTATTAATTATAGTTTTTTATAGTCTATGGTTGGCTTACATTTGATTCTAAAGACGTATAATATGCTGCATTTCACTGTGTTTCAATCTAAGTGTGATATTTGAGGGGGGGGGAAATGTGATGTAAAAATGTACTGATATTGGGCGGTGGCCCTTAAGAGGTTAAGGGGTTAGGTAAAGATACTTTAGATGCTTCAAATAAAAAAAAAACAGTTGATACAAAGGAGCAGGATCTATTTGCATCCACTAAACTCTTTGCTTATAATCACCTGTCGCTGTGCTCCTCTCACTGATGCTTTGTAGATGACTCCTGTTCTCCTGTCAGCCCAATAAATCCTCTCTTCTCTGTAATGAAAGTCGAGCAGGACAGAGCTTCCCACACCAGCAGCAAGCCTTCTGTGGTTCTTGCCATCCAGGTCCATCCGATGGATTGATTTTCCATGGCCAAACAGGAGGAAAGGCTGGAAAACTTCAAGAAATCAAAGACACAAATCTTTGCCTTTACTTTTGAAAGTTTATTTTGAAGGTCTTCCACCATATTTCTAAATGGAGATAATGGAACTGTTTTCCTCTTTCCAATGAGAATAAAATGAATTTCTATAGCAGGTAGAGTTCTGTAAGTAGGAACAGACTTGAATTTGGAAAACAAGGAATGTGCAACTATTTCCCAGACATTTTAACTGCTTAGTTTGAGAAAAGTCTACAATGCAAAGTGGGAAAAGTGATTATAGATTTATAATGATTATCATGTGTCTCTATACTGACAAAATGATTGCGCATCTTTGCATTATTTGTCATGTTTTAGAGTCCTGGCTCTGCAAAAAAAGCAAAACTTCTCAGTTTAAATACATAAATCTGCCGACAGAAAATAGATTTGTTATGACACTAACAGCTGAATAGTTGTTCCCTGTCACTCTGCTGTTGAATTATTAACACATCTTTCATCAGAGCAATAGGGTGAAATTCAGCTGCCACTGGATAAAACATCATCCCTTAGCAACAAAGAACTCTTATGCCACCCTTCCTCCAAGCCATGACTAAACTGAAGGGTAGGACTTTCTTATTCAGGGATATTTCTGGTTTCAGATGATAATAGAGAACCAAATTATTGATTCTACCTAGCAGTTTCTTTCCAGCATTCTGCAGATTTTGTTACACACCAAAAAAGAACATAATCAGACTGAAAATGTATGGTCTTTTTACAAATAGCAACTGGTAGAAAGTGTTCTTTATTAAGTCTGTCATGTGCATCCATAGACACTGCTGCTAACTCAGTGGAATGATGGCAACAATGAGTAACACCAGACAAACAACATAACAGAATGTCTGGCCCCCAGGATTCATTAGCCCCAAATAACAGATGCATCACTGGTGAACTGCTTGTTTAGAAGTTCACAAGAAGGTCATCAGGATTCATGACTAAGCTTAGAAACAGGGTGATAGTTTACTGAGAAGGTGATTAAGTTATGCAATTTTGCATACTAGGAGTCAAGTAAACATTTGGAGACTTTTTCTGATTCTGTCAATGCAAGAGACACCGTCGGTTTCACATATACTCCTTCTAGAACACTCTGTTTAAAAAAAAAAATCAACCAGCAATAATAAAAAAATCAACAAGCAATCAAAGGTTCCTACGATGGATGTCTCAGTCCGCTATTGATTTATTGCACTCCAGTGTTGAGTCTGCTCAAGCATTCCTATACAGCAGCACTTGTGTCACACAGAGTAGACATCACAAAGGCACCAGCAGAGTGCAAGCAATGTATACAAGTTTAGGTCTAATAGTCTAATAAATCAAATTTGATTTGATTCTTGAATATTACATTTACTGTAGGTTTAAAGTCTGTGTTAATAATAAATGGATCAGTTGTTCTCATACCTGATGCTGTTTGCTATGGTTCTCTTTTTAAGTAATATTACTTAATCCAATATTTTCAAATATTTCAAATGACAAAATAAGTCATAAAAGTATGAGTGATTTTTTTTAGCTTATATCGCATCAGCTGAATATCGGTTTCGGCCAATAATCAAACCTGCAATGTTGGAATCGTGGACTTTATCCCTCACTCTGTAACTGGCTTTTAAACTACTAACTGGCAGGGTACAGGATGTCAGTGCAGTTTGGGGGGAAAATAGATCAGCCACCATCAATATATCAACAACATCAGGAAGAAGTCACAGAAGTAGCCTTATTCATGAAAACGCTGAGGAAATTTGGGTTGAGGAACCAAGATTTTCACAACCTGCATCCTTGAGTCTGCCCTGACCACCTTAATCCCTGAGTAATAATGCAAATCCACTGTGTGGGACCTGCAGGGAGTAATAAAGACTGTCTAAGATTACCATGGCACCACAACCGTCCCTACAGAGCATCTACCACATGAGAGGTGCCTTCATTATCAAGACTTGACTCTCCCTCAGCATGAACTAAATGCTCTCCTACCCTCAGGTATAGGAGAGTTAGATGCAGGTTTAAGGACAATTTCTTTCCCATAGTAATCAGACTGGTTAACAGCTGAGCCCCTAGCCCTAAAGGGCAAAATTCCCCCTTATATGCACCTTATCTTGAGACATTTTATTTCCCTGCACCACCATACCTGGCTACTTGAATTAATTTGCTTAATTGTGCGACACCGTTCTTAGTGCTGAATTTAGCAGAAAATGCAGGTAATGTAGCAAACTGATGCTCTATTCAACATTTCTATTTTTATTATAGGTTTTTTTCGTCTTTTCTTTTGTTTCTGACCAGCATGCATATTTTATTCTGTTTGTTAGTCTCTCTGGCTCTCCAGTGTCGACAGCAAAGTAAGAAATTCATTGTACTGGGAAGCGTTTTTCTTTAGGCAAGGCACGTTTATTTATATATATAGCACATTTCAGTGGTATTGAAGTATTGAACATCAATGTGCATATAAAAACAAAAGCTTTGAATTGATTTAATTTGTATCTGAAATGAAAGCGTTGTCTCAGGACACCCTTAGTTCCTTTGACTGATTGTTCAGTTATCTATTGATTGATTATTAGATATTTTCTAAATGACAATGCTTTGGTGATCATCCAAACCAAACCACACCTTTTTGATCTGCCTGTGGAAATGTGGCAGTGATTGCTTTTTCATTTCAGAAATGTTTATCAGTCAAAATGAGAAGCCCACATAGCACACAAATATTTTACAAATATTTTACTTGCATTCAAAAAAATATTTTCTATGATTGAAAAGATGATTTTTTTAAAAATTTATTTTGTTGTTTTTTTTTTTTTTGTTTAAAGCAACTTCTTTTTTGATTGAATAATAAAGACAAATGTCCTACCCATTATATGGTCTAATCAAAAAACAATGTTACTTCAATTAAAAAAGTTGCTTTAAAATTAAAAAACTTGACTTCTATCAAATAAAACATTTTTAATCAAAGAAAAGCAGTATTCAAATGTATTTTTTGAGTCTCAAAAATGTTTTTGCATTCAAATACTAATTCTTTGGTTGAATTTTTTTCTTTTTTATTAAAGTGAAGGTTTTTTTAGTTGAAAATATGTTTTTTGTTTAATGCAACCTTTTTTCAATTGAATAATAAAGGCACAAATCTACCTTCACAAACAAATCTGCTGTTTTTAAGTAATTAGTAAAAAAAACTAATAAATTTCATCCAATCGCCCTATTTGATAATTTTTTTACTTTTATATGGCATTAGATTATGCTCTCTTTAATATACTGTATGTTACTGGTCCTGATAAGCTCCTATTGTCAAGATAAGGAAGAAGAGTTTTAACAACTTAATATTTTATTACAGAAGCCTCCTTTCCCAGATATAGACTCATAACCTTCAGTAACAGTGAATTTATTTAGCAAAAAAAAATCCTAAATACAGTAACGAAATCAAATGTTTGCAACAAAACGATAATTTGCACATACAGTTAATTTAACCTAAGGTCTTTTATGTCAGATTATTATTGCCTTACTTGATCTAAATTCATATAAATGTATTGGTATTAATAAACACCTCTGTTTCTAGTTATATAATTGTAAAGAAGAGGTACATTTATTGCACCAATTATGTGCTAAACTGGAATCCAGAACAATATATATTAAGATAAATATTAAATGTAGATTAAAAAAGATTAAAAAAAAAATAGTGAAGTAACTCAGCCACTGCACAATGTTCACATCCTGTTTGTCATGTCCTGCCATGACAAATATAAACTTAAATGGGAGTTTAACTGAACCTGAAGAAAAGTCCAAGATTAAGCTTTTCTAAAACAAGAGCTCGAGAGTGTGTGGAACCAAAGGGAAATATTTAGAGTAGTATGTTATGTCCTCTATAATGTACAGTAGAGGATCTCTGAGGCTGTGGGCAAGGAATTCCCAGTAATCCCTGAATATGTGGCATCATCTGCTCTTTGAAAGACCGGAACTTCAAAACAAAATCACCAACTATTCATAAAATATCTCACTGATCAACTTAAAATGTTTTAAAAAAAAGAAAGATCTTTGTTCACCGATAATAAAAAAAAGTTGATTTTTAGTTAGGGGTTTTATATTTAGTCTAGAAATTAATGTTAATTCTTTGTTTACAACAGTGTTATTTAGGAGTTCTAAAAAATCTGGCCTCTACTTTAAATGGTATTTCAAACCTAAATAGTGTGTTGGAAAAGAACTGTACTGATCCTTGACATCTTGTGTTAGCGTCAACATGCCTGAATGTAGCTTTTCATGCTATGTTTGCTATTTAGTCTTAATTGCAAACCTCATGCATTTTAATCAACCAGTTGACCCTTTTCTGTTATGACTTCAAAGCTTTGGAAAATACTACCTTTAAACATACAGACCTATCAGCATCCTGTTTTTAAGTCTCCTTTAAAAATGCATTTTTTCCCCAAAACTTCATATAAGTTGTTTTATTATCTCTGTTCTATTACATGTTTTACATTTCTGTTAGATTTCTTGCTTTTATTTATTAGCTTTATTTATCTTGATATGTACAGCACATTGGCAAACTTGCTGTTTTTAAAAATGCTTTATATACAATTGGGATTTAAAGCAGTGCTTCAAAGTTGATCTATTTCATCCAGTGCCTTCATAACTTTATCAGTGCGCTCTAAGATTTATAATGAACCTCGACATTTTGACTCATCACTCTAAATATCATTCTAGGATGGAATTGGCTTTTTTGACTTACAGACATTGACGCACAGGCATCATTGGTACCATTTTATACAAGTTTTGTTCCAATTTATTAATATGAAGTGATAATAAAAAAGAGCACCAAGCAGTAATCTTTGGGTTGCAATTATCAATACTTGCTCTCTATCCCAAAAGTTTGAACCAAACCTTTACCTACAGATCCTGTACTGCATTAAACACTCTTCAAAATATGTTGCACCTTGAAAGATTAATCTCCCTAATGTGCGTTTGAGGCTGGATTGATGGTCTTAGAAATGTGCTTTGAATTCTGTCTGATATAACTTTTTGTAAACAATTTACTTGTGGGTGCTATATATATATATATATATATATATATATATATATATACATATATAAAACTAAAGTTTAATATGACAGGTTGGAATAAATATTCTCATGTGTAATACAGCAAACATTTAGGGTTTCATCATTTGTTAACATCTGTTAACATGTGGCTTCTCACCAACAGCTCAGCCTGACATCCACCCACACCACACAGCCGACTGTCTGGCTCAACATTTGCTGCAGTTTACTACAGATTTTATTATGTTTTAAAGATGTGACCTGTGTGTTTGAAAAAAACAATATTTTATTGCAGTTTTTTTCTTATTCCTGAAAGTTAAGGCAGTTGTTTAGAGCAGAAATCTTTTGAATTTCCATTTGTAGCTGATTCTTTACACCATTTCACATTACAGTGATATATATATATATATATATATATATATATATATATAGGTGAATATATACAATGTGTTCTTGTATATGAATATGATAAGCTTGTGAATGTTTCCTCTTTGGTCACAATAATTTTGTATACAATGGTGAAAGGAACCTAATTTATCTCAAGCTGTTCCAGATAAACTGTTAGAGGGAACATTGTCTCAAACTCACCTGTACAGCTGCTGTTACCTTCTGCATCGTCGAGGCGCTCATCCCAACATGTTGCACTGAGGACCAAGCTTCCAGTACTTTGAACCAAGAAACAGACCAGCGTTGTTTTAATCATTGCAGCCAGCATAATCCTGTGGTCTGTACCGGCAGCACTTTGTTTCAGGTTTCCCACTGTCATCCCTGGCACAAAAGATTACCACAAATTCCCAAAATCTGTGCAAAGTTTTCCTCTGTGTTCTTAGCATCCTTGTCTGAAGCTTAAACGGCGAGAGATCTAGGAGCCTTACATACCAGCAAAAGTCATGCTGGGGGGGATGCAGAGTTCCTTTGAAAAGACTGGTGGTTTCACACTAAAGACACCAACTCTCACTGCAGCTTTCCACTTAGAAAAAAAGAGTGTGTGGGGTCCAGCTTTTGCCCCACTTTCAGGCTTCTGACTGCCAGTCTCTTTTGGAAGCAAAGCTTGAAATTCCTGACACTCCAGTGGTAAAATTTGCACACACTAGTCTAGCATTGTAGCAGGATTTGCTCTAAACCGATCTGAAAAAAGCTCCCAACAATATATTACTCTTACTCCCCTCCCACAGATCTGTGTCCTTGTTAGGTGGAGATGGAGAGTTTACGCACCTAAACAAAAAATAGGAGAAATGTAACCTTAAAAATTAATCCTAATGAATTAATTTTCAGCGTAGACCACCTTATAGTAAAAATGTGCATTTTCTCTCAAGGAAAAAAACACAGATAACACTTTGTTTTTGAAAAGCTGGGTAAATAAAACGTCAGCATGGCTGACTGTCTCCTATCGAGGCTCATCTGGCTCCCAGGACAAATTGACAGAATGACTCATTTCTTGAATTCGCTGTCTGAGTTGAACAGATTACCCCTAAATTGTTTGTCACAGGCCACAGACCATAGCCTCTATTCATGCTCCTCATGACTGGGATATTGTTAGAACCATCACCACCACTGGTAACCTCGTAGAGCAGCAGGAGATTTATACAGCTGAGAAAGTTGTCTTGTCTGTGTTCTGAAGGTCACTGACCTTTGCTCACCATTTCACCCCAGACAGATAATAAAAATGTTAATGTTGGTAATCAGACACCAAATGACTTGTGGGTTAAGTCAGAGTCACACATTAGTTGGAATAAACATTTAGAGGAAAGGTTTTGATAAATTAACAGCTTTTAACTCCATAAACAACCAAACCAGAAGGTAGAAAACTGGGATTTAAAACATATGGGAAAGACTGGGATATTTTAACAAATAAAAATAACTAAAGGAACAGTTTTGCAGTCACTGTATTTTGTACTGTTGGTTGCAGGCAGAGTGGATGCTGGACGGTGCTCCTTCTGCACTAAAGAGAAATCTGTCATTTAGGTTCCTTCTTGGTAGGGAGGGACTCTATACTTTATTGATCACAGAGGGAAATTCAAGGTATCGTCGCTCATTCATCAATGAACCTAATACAAAAGTTTGATTTAGCTTCTCATGGTGTTTTGAATCTTTAGAGATCACATCCATCCATCTTCGCCCGCTATATCTACCAGGTTTGTGGTGCCTATCTCTGGCAGGTTGTCAGTTTGTCACAGGAAAACACAGAGACATACAACAATGCATAAAAAAATGTTAGAGCAATTTAAAGAATTGCTCCAATGAACCTAACAGTCATGTTTTTGGACTGTGGGAGGAAGCCGGAGTACCCGGAGAGAACCCACACATGCATGGGGACAACATGCAAACTCCATGCAGAAAGACCCTAGGCCAGGAATTGAACCCAGAACGTTCTTGCTGCAAGGCGTTACAAACTGCGTCACCATGAAGCCCTAGAGATTCGATAGTAAAAGTCTTTTCCTACATAGCGTCTCCTCAAGTTACAGGACTCCAAAGCGCTTTATACTACATTCAGTCAGTCACCTACTATACAAACAGTACATCTATATATCAACACATACACATTACTGTAACTCTTTGTTTAGTAAGGTTATTGTCAGCTGGAACTTTATATCTCATGTTTATCTAATAATTAAGATTTTTTTATTTTATATCTGGGATTAAGTTTGATTTCTGAAGATACAGTAATCCAAAAGCATACCTTTTTTGACTCATGAACTCTGGGAACCTCTGAAATAGAGATATAGTTTAGGTAATTGTTTTAATGAATTAACCACCGTTAATTTTTCAATCAGAGATCAAGGAAATGTTTATTTTATTTAGTTATCCTTTTTTTCTTTATCAAAGAATATATATCATTAATATTACTTGTCTGGCTGCACAAGGCACTATTGTCTTGAGACATGAAGTTGCTGGGCTCAAATCTCTGTAATGTAGGAACTAGAGGTCTGCATTTTCAGTTAAAGAGGGAAAAGCCTGTAAAAAGATTAGTTCCAACTATTTGCATTTTCAGCTCCAAAGCATAGACAGTGCTTTGCTTTGAATAAAGGAATTTGAAGTCTTTTATTTTTGTTCCTTGACCTTTGATGGGGTCAAAAAAAATGCAAGTTAGATAAATATAGCAGAGCTAGTTTACCATTACCTTTTCTTCTAACATGCACAAGTATTTATGGATCAGTGCTTCTTTGTTCCTTTTGTATGTCTGCGTCTCTCTCTTTGAACCCCCAGTTGGCAGAAGGTTTCTCAAAATGAGGCTTGCTGGTGGTTTCTTCCTGCTAAAATTAATATTTTCCTCTCCACCTCACTGCATGCATGCTCAGTGTGATGGACTGCTGCAGAGTCAACAAGAAAACACAAGCATATTTCTGGTCTCATCACAGCTCATCCAAATGGAACCTTCAAAGTCCATGAGTCAATGCAATCAGCTGATTTTCCTTAGCAAAAATCTTTTTATCAATCTGGCTTTATGATCTGACTGAATTGACTCTCTAAAGGGCCTTGAAATGATGTGTTGTGAATTAGCGCTATAAAAATAAACTAAATTGAATTGATTATGATAAACTGATCATGATCAAGCTAAAACAAATCTCATTCGGTCCCAAACTTTTCAATTTCTTGTTATTGTTGCCTTGATCGTTTATCTCTGATGTCATAAAAAAAAAACTTCCTTTGAAGAGACCTTGTGATCTTTTGTAAATTAAAGACTGAAGGAAAGAATCTACATTTTCTAGAGATTCACATGGAGACTGCTGTTTTAGTAGCACCACTGCACTAATTATTATAATGCCAACTCCATCTTCAAAGGTCAACTTTGTAATTACATGAATCTTTCCTCAAGATAGAGGTTTCCGACTCCTATCCTTGAGTATCATCATCTTGCGGCTTTGTCCCTGCTCCAGCACAACTGAATTAGTTGTCCTGATATTCCTCATCATCATTAAGTTTTCACATTACCAGGAGAGGCCTGGTAATGTGTCCTTACCTCCCCCACCCCCCACACACTCAACCCACTGTTAGGCATCCCTTTGTAGATAAATCACAGATTTTTATGATTTAGGTTGGACACATTTACCATATTGAAAAAGAAAACAAAATGAATATTGTTTTATTTTTGTGTGTGAGTGTTGGAGTGTATTTCTTGCATTGCGGGGAGCATGCAAATAAGAAATAACAATTTTTAGTTTAAAACAAAGAAAACATTTTATTACATAGAAAATATAATGTGGCATATTCATCAAATAATTCAGTTATTGTGTTCCAATAAACACACCGACAGTACTGAATGTCTTTGTGTGGAAAGGCAACAATGAGCTGGATCATTACAGCAACTATGATGTACTGGATGAGATGAAGAATGTTATGGGTCTTCTGAGATTACCACAACGTTCACACCAACAGTTTTGGCATTGAAGAAAACAAACCATTCTGTGATAAATGAATGAGCCCAAATGTCTGCATAATTTCTGCATGAAAAATAAGGCTGAGATACGGGTTGACAGAGGGCCCTTTAAGCTTCCCATCACAGAGCTTTTCTTGTTAGCACTCTTCTAAATGATCATAAATAGGTATAATTCTTGCAGCAAATCACATTCTTTCTTTAAAGCCCATTGACAGTAAAGTTCAAAACAGTCATAAATATCTATGTATATTTCATGGTTATTCCTCAAAATCTTGAAAGGCAGGTGTATCAGCATATTGTTAGTGTATTGGCAATGTATTTTGACATCAACAGAGATACTCAGACCGAGAACTATCACTCTTGTAGGTCATCTGAGAGTCTATACTTGATCGGGAGCACAGCAATAGCCGCTCAGATTCATTTGTTGGTCTTCTTGCCCAAAGTTCACATGGGTGTGAGTTAAAAGTTCTTTGTTTCATTGAGATTGTCTCAAATTTGACATAGCTCTCCCTTCCTAACTCATTTTCATCTAAAGGTGAGTTGTGTCCCTTACAGTAAAGAGCGAGAATTTTGTAGACAAGTAAAGCAATTAACGGCAAAACCAAAATGCAGGCGATGCCGCTTATGATAAAGAAAAGTTTGTTCTGCTCACTGTCTTCTGTGTAGAAGTCAATGCAGGGATCTTTTTTAGCAACACTCACCTTTGCTACAAGACAAACTGAGTATCTCATTCCAGGAGACAGACCATCAAGGAGCACTTTTCCGCTTCCAGCTTTGGTTTCCACTGTCCTTTTACTGTCATCCTCACCATATGGGGAATATACAACCGTGAGAGGTGCATCGTTTAGTAATCCCCCTGCTGTCCAGAGCAACACTGCACTGTCAGCTGTCTGCTCTACAATTTCCAGGTCCTTAACAGATCTTGAACTGCCACTTTTTTTGCTCTTTTCATCTGCTGCAAATTTTCTTCCATCACCTCCTTGTTGGTTTTTTGTCTCCTTGAGCAGACCTTTCTGAAAACCGTTGCCAGAGACTGGTTTGGGTGATTTTGGGCCAACAGAAAGTGTAGTTAGTGATCCTGGAATGACAGTTGGTGCTGTAATAGGTGATTTGGAATTGTCTGCTAAAGGAGTGACCACTGTGGCCTGCTTGGTCAGTTCAGTCTCAGCATCGGGTCGGAGTGAGGGCGCAGTAGTGCTTATGGTACCGGCCAGGGTTAGAGATATGGTGGCTTTTGCAGTGCCGGCAACATTCTTTGCTGTACAGCTGTAGTCCCCAGCATCTTTATGTTCTATTCCATGCAAGCTCATAATGGACCAATTAATGCCTTCCCCAGGTGACTCCTGGACTGAATAGTGGAGTAAAAAAGACAGGTATCATTAGGTAGTTGTCCTCTCTAATTTCTGGAGATTACCATCATCTCTATGATGGTATACATCTTTAAAAAAACACAGCAATTTTTATTTTGTTCTTTAAAAACATAATATGTTTTATTTTACCTGTATTGTTGACCGGAGAACCATCTGATTTGGTCCAATAAAGAGTTGGTGTTGGAGATCCTGAGGCATCACATCGTAGGAGGACGTTGCTGCCTAATGTCGAAGTTATCTTGGTTGCAGACGCCATCACTGATGGTTTTACGCAATTCTCCAGCTCAGCACGCTGAAAAAGAACACCTGCTAGGGTCTCTGGTGCTGTGCAGGTCAAAAATAAATCCGTCAAAATCACTGGTGTGTCAGCCATCCTGGAAATCTCAATCAGCTTGGAGATTTTACAGTCACAGAGCCAAGGGTTGTCTTGAAGGCCTGCGAATAAAGATATAACAGAAATATAAATGATTTGTTATTTTACATTAAAAACGTGTTATGGTGTCATTTTTGTATATGCACAAAGTTAATATTACATAATTACAATGAGAGAAGCAAAGATACAAAAAGGTAAGGTGGGATGGACATCAAATACTTTTGTATGTTGGTTTTGCCTTTAATGGTGCTTTGCAGTGATGTACTCTCATACAGTTACCACTAACAGTAACTGTTTTTAAAAGTTACTCATGTAAACATATCACCCCTCTGGATATTGTACTTAGAGAGTCAACAATTGCATTAGAATTTAACTAAAGAACCCAGATAAGCAGTAAACACCTGATGTACACAAGCCTGTGTTCCAGTGCATTCTAAGCCTTTCAACAGATTAATTTGACTTAGGAGTCGCAAAACACCTAAGCTTCCACTAGCATTCCTACAGCGTGTAGGAACACACCTTCCGTTGGATTTACCTTTCCCATAAACATCATAGGGTCGTTTACAGTTAACACCTCCTAATCCATGTTGCAGGTGTAAAGACTTTATACAATAAATTATTTCACACCATTTAATATTCTTTGCTAATCTTATCTAAACAAAAAAAAAATGTTAGAGGACAATATTCTAATTAGTCCAGACTACATGCTAATTTATGGTTAAAAACTTTGCAATATGTACTATACTCTAAAATGGTTTTAAAGAGAGGAAGGGCAAATTCACTCATTTAGTTAAGATAGTAATATTAAACATGGAAATACTAAAAGAGCTTGACTGATTGCACTTTGACAGTGGTGTCAAAAGTACACACATTTGTTAATTAAGTAGAAGTATAGATACTAAAAGTATAAAAACTAAAAGTTGTAGTATCAACTTGACCTCTTTACTCAAGTAAAAGTCACTTGTAAAAGTTACTCGTAAGTTACTTGACACCTCCTCACTTTGACTACTAGCTTGATAGACCCTGAATTGAACGTTTTTTTTTTCCAGATCAGTGAACAACCTCACATATCATCTCAAAGCACTCTACAGAGACAATTCAACCTGATCATTGGCTTGCAGGACACTCTCCTCCTGGATGAGCATGTGGCGACAGAAGAAAATAATTTGCATTTTTGCAATTTTTAATTTTTCACATTGAGCATGCAGTGACAGTGGAGAGGAAACGCTTTTAACAATAAGAAGCCTCCAGTAGAAGTAGGTTCAATGTGAGCTGCCTTTTGCCAACAGAGGGTTTAAGCAGAGAGAAGTAGAGACACGAAAAGAAAACAAAAGTAAGGAAAATACGTACATTTTCTAACATAAATACGTTTATGGTAGAAAAGGTAACTGTGAACTAGCTCCATAGAAAAGCTCACTAGATGAGCTCTGAGACAGTTTTCATGTCAAAGGGATGAAAGAGATCAGGTACAGTTAGTCACAGTAAAAGCCGAGGCCATAGCTATGTCTAGAAGAGAAACAACACTAAACACTAAAAAACATCTCTATCACCCATAACCAAAGATATATAAAAAGTGGTCCTGATGAATTTGCTGAGGGAAAAAGACTAGAATAAATCTAGCTCTTTACAGTATCTATGAGGTGATTTTAAGGTAGTTTGAGTAAACATAAGAAACTGAAGAAAACATAAGAAGCTAAAACTGAACTAAAACTTTGAGCCTTCATTTAGGCTAGAACATAAACAACACTTTAAATATGGTAAAAGGAAGGCTGAACTTAGTACAGGAAAGCTGTTACTGTATGTTGGCACCAATTAGTAAATCTTATAAATAAGGATTTGTGTTGTATAGTAAGCAAACATAAAGCTGTGGGTTTGCTTATTTGCTGATATGAAACATCATTCTCCATCTTAATTCATTTTAAGATAGCACAACCCACTTTTACAGCTCCTGTTTTCTCAAAAATACAAAATGATGCCGTGTGATCTCTTAATATAAATCATTAATGACGTTACATGACGGTAAAAGGCAAACTGAATATCAAGAATGCTCTTCATGGTTCATTTTATACTTAGTATACTTATAGCATTTACTTGTATCCAAACAAGCTGGTCAAACTTTAAAAAGCTGGATATTTGCCACAAAGCTCTAAACATTAACAGCTCTGTTGTGGTTGATTTTTGTGCCTCATTTACCATCTGCTTCAGGGACAGCAAAGCACAATTCCATGTAGATCCTCTAACCAGAACCTCCCAAGCCTGCAAAATCTCTAATTCTGTTATGTAGCATATGGTTTCATTCAAGAACGTCAAAGATTTTAAAGCTGGAATCATTAAAAGCAAAGATTTTGCTTACCTACAAACAAAGTTTAGCACTAATGTTTGTTTTTTTGCTGTAAGACCATATCGGCTGAATAAAAAGTGAAGCATTCAGTTACAGACATAAAGCTACTGTACTGATAATAATTGAAATGTAATAATCTCACAATGGAGAAATTCACCACTGCTTTTAACCCATCCCCTTAGGGACAGTGGGCTACCCCTGTGATGCACCCTGGAAGAAGTATGCGGTTAAGGGTCTTGCTCAGGGACCCAGAGTGGCAGTCTGTGGGAATTGAACTCCGGGACCCAAGCGCAATGCTCTAACCACTAGGCTACAGTTCCACCTATTAGTATTTACATAAACTAATAGTGAAGGAGTGAAGCACCAGTTGATAACTTAGTGCTTCTATTTCAGACATATTTGTTAAATACAGATAAAGATGGGAACGCACTGCATAGATGTGATGCAGAAAACCTAAATTAGAAGTTAGCATAATCTCACTTACTCGTATCCCCATTACTTTACCAATGCACTAACATTTCATCTACTTCTACTTCACACCTGTGTTATTCAACCAAAGCCTATCTGTTTATTTTACATTTACTTAAAGTCAAATTTTCATAAAAATGGTAGTTAAAGTGAACTGTGCTTTTATATTTTTATTCTTTATTTAAACCACAATTGGGGAAGTCAGGTCTTTAAGTTATGAGATGTTATGATCAAAATTCAAAGCAAAATAACTTTTGCCGACATCCTTCTATGCTATGTTGTTTTTACTGTAGCCATATCCCTGCGTTTACTCATAGTAAAGCTTACAATAGAGAGTTACTTTAAATCATCAGCTGTCCAATGGTATAGGACAGCTCCCCTGGAGGATATGGAAAGTGATACTTGATAAGCTCAAATGACCTGAAACATATGTTGCGACAATGTGTGAAAAGTACAAATCCCAACTGGTTGAAACAACCTGGCCCATTAATTTCCCATTGAATCTATGTGAGGGGGCATCATAAACGTTCGCTGAAAAAATAATGCAACCCTTTCTGGCATCTACTTAATTATATTTAGTTACTTTAACACACTTTATTCACGATAGCATGGTAGAATATAAAAGTAGATGCCAAAAACGGTTGCAATATGTTTTTCAGTTTTCATCTCTTAGGCTGTGTGTGAGCAGCTTTAAAAGGGGGTTGTGATGCAAACTTTTCCTTCCTTCTTTTGATTTTTTCTTCTTTGTGTTGTTTTGCAATAGAAATCCAGCAGAATCGAAGAGATAATAGAGCATATCTATTGATCTTATTATTATAATTATTATTATTTTACAATACTCGCTTTGGGAGATTATTTTGAAATAAATTAGAACAGCAAAGGGCATCCAGTGTTTTGCACGCCTTAGGCTTAGCTACCTGGCAGTCACCACCCCAGCACCACAAGTTCCTGAGGTAGTGACCCAATAACCCCAAATCCGTCCTGACTTGGCCCTATTATCCTGTAGAATGAAGCTGGGTGAACTGTTTCCACTCACCTAAAATGACTTTTTGATAGGCATTAGAAGAGATAGGGACACCGTTAAAGGGTGGCCAGATATCCATGAGGTCAGAGGGCAGGGTAGTCAGTTTGTTGCTGGATAGATCCAAATAGGTGATGTTGACAAGGTATGGAATGGCCTCAGGGGCAACACTGGTAAGTCTATTGTTATGAAGATCCAGTGTCCTCAGCTTTGGCATCTCTTTGAGGGACTCCCAAGGGAAAACTGAAATCATATTCCCATCCAGCCTCAGCTCGTGGAGCACTTTTAGGTTGTAAAAACTGCCTGTGTCAACAGATGTAATGGAATTATAGGTAATCCAAAGGTAACGTAGCTCCACCAGATAGTAAAAAGCTTCAGTTGGGATACGCCGTACTGCAGTTCTCTCTACGCGGAGTTTGACTGTATCCACTGGGACATTGACAGGGATGTCAGACATGTCTGGGTCATTACAGAGGACAGATCTGGAAGACAAATATCAAATTGTTAAAGTGTGTTTTGAGACAATAGCATTGAATAAACTAACTTTTCTTCAAAGAAATACACTTTTGAACTCTTAGGCAAACAGAAAATAGGGAATGAAAATGTTTAGAAGTTTTTTCATCTTTTCAGCCAGATAAGAATTAGTCCATCCTTTCAGACAGCCTGTCTTAATGCGGGCTATTTAGTGTGATATAACAGTGGGTCAGCCTAGTGGGTCAGCTCCTGCATACCAGGGATAAAAACACTACAGCCATTGCAGAAAGTCCTTATGTGAGTTTCAATTAAACCATAATCTTACTTTTACTGTCTTTTTATGATTAAATCAAAACAAAACTTTCCTGTTTTTATTTCTGTTTGGCTAACTCTTGAATAATGATATATGGAGGTTTTATTTAGATACATTTGTTTTTCTTTAAATTCAGAGGTTTACATAAATTAAGATCAATGCTAATGTAAACAATAGGGAAAAGCCTGATTAAAGAAGTTGTGACAACCTAAATTCTAACCTGAATGGAGCCACACCTGTGTCTGTATCCCAAGGTAACAGTTCAAACAAGTTGGTTTCGTTTGTGACATAAGGTGGAAAAAAATTCGGGACTACATTAATGGGGTCAATTCAGGAGAGAATATACCAGATTTCTATGTGAAGGGGACATATTTTTCCTCTTTAAAGAATTGTAATCGAGCAAGAACAACTTGTGGGCATCCAGACATTTAGTGTTCAGGAACTTTGTGGTTTGATGAAAATGAAACTGAGTTGTTTGTTATATTAAACGTTTGTAGTTTAGGAGGAGAATTGGACCTGGTTCTGCTGAAGGTGTCTTCTTGTTAAAAGGCATTTTTCCTCTCCACTTTGCTACATGCATGGTTGGTATGATGAGATTACTGCAAAGTCAACAATGTTCATTCATTCAGGAGGATTGGATCCTGAAAAGTCAACGGCTTGATGCAGTCAGATGGATTTTTTAGGTAGAAAAATGTTCAGGTACGAGTTGATTTAGTTGAATCTAAAGTAAGAGGACGCTTTCCTATTTGGAGCTATTTGAACAAATTACATTGACTTGAATTGAATCGAACTGAATTGAATTGAAAGTATAAGCCTTTATGCCCTAAGTAAACCTGTTACAGGATGAAGTGGGGGACAAAAGACAAAACATTATGCAGAAATATTGAGGCATTGGACATTGCAGTGTCCATATAAACTGCAAAACTCCCTGCATAATTATAATAAAGCAATTTATATGCATGACACAAGTGGAGCAATATGGCAATTGCCATACTGCTACACTTGTGAAAGTAAAATCTGTTGGGCTCTTTTTGGCATCAAGACAATTATTCTTATTGCCACATTGCCAGACAGGACACTGTTAAAAATCTTTCAAATGAACAGTGGACAGATTTGATCTTTTAATTACATTTCTAATTCCAAAGGGAGAACAAAGAAAATGTTTTGTAATAGCCAAAAAGTCTTGATGGTAATACTCTAGACCAGGGGTTAGGCTACGTCATTCCTTTAGGGCCACTGTCCTGTAGCTTTGGATGCATTACTTTTTCAACACACCTGAAAGAAATAATGGGCTAATGTACAGGCTTCTGCTAAGCATTGCAACATGCAAGGGAGTTAATTAGGCCTTTTGTTTCAGGTGTGTTGGAGCAAGGATGCATGCAAAAGCTGCAGGATAGTGGGACATCAAAACTGATTTTTCCTACCCTTACTCTGAATCAGGGGTGCTCAAGTCCAGTCCTCAAGAGCTACTATCCTGCAACTTTTTGATACAACCATTTTTAACACACCTGAATCAAATGAGTGGCTCGTTACCATGCCTCTGCTAAGCTATGAGGGGAGTGAGGCTTTAGATTCGGGTGTGCTAGAGAAAAGATGCATCTAAAAGTTACAGGATGGTAGCTCTTGAGGACTGGACTTGAGTACCCCTGCTCTAGGATATCTGTGGACAGCGCCAAAAAGGTGAATATGACAGACATGGATTACAGACTGATTCTAGCCCTGTCCAGGAGAAAGGGCCAAATTCCAACAAACTCCGGTGGGAAGACGGAGGAGAAATACCCAAAACGTTTGTTCTAAGCAGTTAAGCGGAATGTCAATTATACAATAAGCTAAGGAAATCTTTCTAATGGAAGTTGGAAATCTTTATCTGACTTAGCAAGTAGAAGTTGATTTTATAGACCTTTAGTTATTGGTCTAAAATCATTAAAGAACAGTTCAGAAAAGTGGCTATGAGCCTTTTGAAAGTGTCTGAAAACCTCTTCTTGCAACAAAAATTTAGGTCTGTTAATGAAAATCTCTTCAAGAATGAATTTTAAGCATAACTACTCGAATATAAAATGTGTTGACGGAAGGCCTTGTAAAAACATGCAGTGGAATATGTACCCAGTGGCAATGCAATAGTTGTTTCTAATGCTCTGTTTTCAGATTCCTGTTTTACAAATGCTTTCTTTTTTTTTACAGACTGAACTGTAGCCATCAAAATGTTCCAAGAACACAGCTAAGGACTAGCATTGCTAACCATTCAGAAAATATGGCTTCCCCACTTATAAAAGGATTAGTGCCATGCCATCAATATAACATTAAGTCAATACAGGTCAGACGGCTTAAGGGGAAATACCCTGCAATTCGTCTAGATCATTTATATAAACTACTTAGCGGCAATAGAAAAGGCTGTGGTTGGTGTTTCATGAGACATCTACCTTAATAACTCCAGCATGCCAGCAATGACAGCCAGTTTGTGTCATATGCCAAATTATTCTACACTTGCAGGGTTACAAATAAAAGTTTTCAAAATATTACATGTGAAATAATTTTTATTTACCTCCCGTAATCTTGGCATAGCCTACTCTTTGGTCACTGTACGAATGTAAAGAATAAGGATTTGAGAGTACATTTAGGCAACTTTGTTTAAAAGGTGGAATATTTCTACATCTTCAAATAAAACTGAATTATTTTGAAAATAAAGTTATTTAATTATACAGGGTTCTATGTTTGCATTCTAAGATGTGCCTCCCGACAAAAAAAAGTCAAAAAATCAAAAGTGCATTTTTTTTTTTGCACGATAAAGCTTCTGTTACCTGGTTCCCGTTCCATCTGTGCGTCCATGAAAGACACAGGTGCACTGTGAGGGACAAAAAGGCAGAGCCATACTGAGACAGCATAGGAATACATGCAGACACAGCAGTCGATGCATGGTGTCACCCAATGCTCCCAAAAAGTTCACATCGAGGAGAGATCAACAAAAAAGACATCCGGAATCACTGAAAATCAGAAGAATTCCCAGAAAACATCAGAGAAAGAAATTAAAGATAACTTTCAAAGTCCATAGGAGACAGCAACACCCAGGCTGAGGATCTAGGCTCAGTACAGGTGACCCGTGCGGTTGAACACAGGGGTGGGGGTGGATTAGTAAAGGATTTGGTCGGTGTGGCAGGGTCACTCAGGCTCAGCTATAGGAGACACCGCTCGATTCAACATGGCGGTTTCTACGTACACCACAGTGCCTCATCCATCTTGTCTATTCTACATGTTAATGAGGCTTTCTCTCACGTGAGCGAGCCAAGCTTTTCCTAATCCACTTTAACAACTTCTTAGTGTTTTTGTTTTAAACTAGCAGTTCATATTCTTCTTCTGAATGTTTAAAAATACTCCTTTAGAATGTCATTTATTTGTTGTCAAAGACAATATGATTTCTTTGCTCAAAATGTTAAAGGGAAACTTTTTATTTTTAATCTTTAGAATTTCCTCCATGAAGATGTTTTATCTAAATGGAATGTACATGAAAAAAGTGAGAGGGGAGTTCTGTCTGGCACCAAAGTGCAAACTGTAATCTGGGAAATGATTTATTACCTTGGCTGAGAGGATCGGTGGTTTCAGGCCAGAAGCCAAACTCCACCTGCCCATCAATGGAGGGTTTAGCATGGTGTAAAACCTTTCATGTATGCAGCACATAATCCAAGGTACAGGCAGGTATTTATGTACTTTCCATGGTTGATCTAAACAATACAATGAAACATCTCAAACTGACAGCTATTTTCTTTAACTTGTTTCTGAGGTTCTCTGATAAGCAGAATTTTTGCAGGGATAATTCATTCTGACAATAAAATCCACACTAAAACAATCATTAACAAGAACATGAGTGAACTTTATTAATGCAAGCAAATTTGATCATACAGGTCAAATTAGCCACTTTAAACTGTTGGCACATGAATGTACAAAACAGATTTCCTTTATAGCCTGAAATTAAGCTGTAAAAGTACAAAAAAAACAAAACAATATGAGGCAGAAGCTGAAAGCATTTCATCATTTCAAAATCATGTTGGTACAAGAATCAGCTTTAAGACATGGCTGAAAGGTACGAAATAGATACAACTGAAAGTCTACAGTCTATCGGAAGGATAAAAAGCGTGGGTGGTTCATTACTGCACGTATAAACAAAGGGTTCATTCAGTAAGACAATCTAAATTACAAAAATAAAGAGGGAAATAAACTTCTGTGTCAGATTAGACTATATTAATGAATCTCCATGCACAAAAACATCTACAATAAATTCACAGTCTTTACTAATGTTACAGTTATCCCACTTTCTGTTGAACAGCAAAGCGATTACATCAAGAAAGAGCACAGAAAAAGTCAAGTCAGTGCATGAAGGAGGGATTTGAGAGAAGCTGATTTAAAAAAAAATGAGCAAGCAATAAAGTGAACGGCCATCTCTGTAGCCGTATGGCAAAATGTGTAGGCAACACAGTCACTGCCATGAACACACACATAAGGACACAAAAATAAAACCTGTTAATCACACCCTATAATCCCTCCAAGGGGCAACGCTGCGACGGGACTTCCCCGCATCCGACCTTCTTGATTTTATTTCAGATTGAATACATTTCAGACTGATTTTAAACATAAGTGCAAAAATATAAAGATAAGCACGGATGTAACAGTACACAGAGCTTTCCTTTAAGAGTAATCATAGTAATTATAAAGTTATGTTTTCTCAAAATAGAGGAAATGACAAGCTAACAGCCTTCAATTAAGTGATTGTTAACTTGTCTCACTTCTGATTGGAAATTTGTAATAATTCAATAATTGCTGTTTAGCAGATATAATTTTTTACGTTGATTTTGGTGATACATGTCAAATTTTTTAACTATTTTATACAAAAAATGAAACTAACTGAATTTATTTTGCAAAAATGTATTAATCCCTGGAAATACTGGCAGGAGATTGGGATTATTTATAGCTGTGGGATGAAAAATATTTCCAAAAAACTAAGCACTCATTCATTTAAAACACTCTTACACATGAAATCTTCACACACACCAAACCAAACATGAGAAATGTGCTTTAGGACCTTTAAAGCCCATCTTGACCCCCTCAGAAATCAATAAAAAGAAATAAATTATGAAATTGAGTCATACGGTACTCATTGCTGAATAAAAAAAGATTTATACACAGATCATAATAAAACTTAAAAAAGATGAAATATTACTGCTACCTCTGATTCTACAAGCTACACTAAAACTACAATCAGCACTAAACAACATGATTGAACAATAATACAACTGCCATAATGATAATTGTAAAAACCCATCCACAAGAGAGGTAAAGGGGCTTTTTTTTTCATTTAAAATGCTGCTTGTGACGAAGGAGCTCTGTGTGAAGCCCCCCCAGACCACATTGTCACATGACGCACCAGTTACATCAGCAGTGCCGAGGGCCCTAGGCGCCATCCGCCCCCCCTCAGGAGGGGATGGTATAGAGAGACAGATAGAAAGCAAGAGGAGAGACAGAGGGGAGAGAGGCCGGAGTGGCAGGGCAAGGCCTCGCACTGGACTTTATGTGTACGCATTGAGACGCTCCTTGGAGCGAGTGGAGTGGATGTCGTGAAGCTCCTGCTCCTCTTTGGACTTGATGTCCTCGTACTTCTGCATGCGGCAGGCATCCTTTACGTAGGCCCAGTTGGCAGAGAGCACCATCAGGTAGTGGATCTGATATAAATAAAAGAATGTCACATGAAAAAGAGGAATACATTAATCGGATAGTGTTTGCTATTCAAAAGTCCTTTTCTTGAATGTGGATGTTTTTTGTTGTTTTTTGTTTTTTATTACAGTTAATTGACTTGTAAGCGGGCTGCTCAGTGAATAGTACTGCTGCCTTGCAGCAAGAAGGTTCTGGGTTTGATTCCTGGCCCAGGGTCTTTCTGCATGGAGTTTGCATGTTCTCCCTGAGCATGCATGGGTTCCCTCCGGGTACTCCGGCTTCCTCACACAGTCCAAAAACATGACTGTTAGGTTAATTGGCTTCTCTACAGTCCGCTTAGGTGTGAGTGTGTGCATGAATGGTTGTTTGTCTCTGTGTTGCCCTGTGATGGACTGGCGACCTGTCCAGGGTGTCCCCCGCCTCTCGCCCATTGACTGCTGGAGATAGGCACCAGCACCCCTCGCGACCCCACTTGGGATAAGCGTGCTAGAAAATGGATGAATGGATGGATGACTTATAAGCATCTTTACCAACTCTTATATGTGACTCTATACACTGCCACCCTCTGGACAGGCAGTACACACTCATGTAAAGACATGTAAAGTACCTTGAAAATATTTTGGCAGTTTCTTTATGGTTTGGCCCTTTAGAACTGAATACATTTGGAGAGTATCAATTAACAACAATATCATAATATATAAAAAAAAAGTTTACTTTAAATTGAAATAGCCCTTGATCCCAATTAAAGAATGACTTAACTTAAAGGTATAGTGGATGATTTTCTTTTTCTGGGTGGATCATCAAAATAAGTGGTCCTCCTAATTGTCAGTCATTCTGGTGAAATGTTTACGTAAGGCCGTCCTACAAGCTCGTCTCCATTTTCACTTACCAGTGGTTAGTCTGACATAGTGGAAAAATTGCAAATATTCTTTTGGAAAGTAACTTGCATGAGCGATGCAAGCATCAACTTTTTAAACAGAGCGTGCATGAGGAGGAATGGGCTTGTGCACGCTCCCACATACGTTTAATAGGATTCTCCTCTCTGGATATATAATATACAACAGCTGATAGATAAGAGGTTGAGAAAGGAGCACACGGTCATAAGATGCTAAAAAGTCAGGAATGAGTTGTTTTGGGTTTGTTTTTTTTTTAGTTTATTTATTACACAGTGAAGTAATATAACTGATTGTAATTGCAAAATTTTATAAGTTTTAATTTGTTAGTCCACCAGGTGGCAGCATGATGCCAGTCCATGCTTTGAACCATGATGTTACCATGGTAGCTCAGGTTATAATGAATGTTTTGTGCTTTAATGACTGAGTTGGTAAGACAGATTCTCCTCTCACAAAGAATGTCTCTCTGATCTGTTCATTCTTTCTGAAATGCAGACAGCACCTTCAGATTTAAGCACAGGAGACTGTTTGGATTCAGTTCTTTGCTATTGCCTGTGTTCCTATAACAGATTCTTGGCTCGCTTTGTGTGATTTAGAGCATTACAGGATTGTTTGGAGGTAAGGTTGAAGTTTCTGTCTGGAAGGGACACAATAAGAGGAGGAAGAGAGTCTTGCTACGGTTTCACTGATTTCTGTCTAGCAACCCCTTTCTTGTTTTTCAGAAAATGGCTTTGCACAAATTACAGAGCGATGTTTGCAACAATCTCTGAGCCTTTCTTCTCCCTGTTTCCATGACGACAGCATGACATGCCCACCGCCTCCAAAAGAGGGAGGGAGACAAACCCTGTCTCTTTCCCTGCACCAAAATGCTTTCTTTCCTCTGTCTACCTCTTTTCATCTCCCTTGGAACCGAAAGAAACCACAAAATGCCACTACTTTCTCAGCAATTTTCCTACAAATAACAGAAGGGATTGCACATTCCTCTCAAAGCAAAGAGAGATCCTGCTTAAACCAGAATTGATGCATTACATCCGCATTGTTTTGCCTATTTTTTATTATTTTGAGGTGTGTTTTTATATAATGACTTCATTGTGCTGTTTGGGGCTCACCATTGCAATGACAGCAGCTCCTGCTCCAGCGAGGGCACAGATGAACAGGTGGAACGTCATGTCCAGCTGTATGGCAAAACACACTGCATTATAGATGAATCCTAAACATTAAAAACAGTACACTGGATGTTTTTAATGGTCAGACTCCTATATCAAACACAGAACGAATATCTATTGTTTTTGTTAGTGCAGGCTGAGAGTTTATTGGACAA